TGGCAAGGATGACCCAATTCTATTTTGCTCATCTCAAAAAGGTATGCGTTGGAAATTCCAGGCTTAGTTGACAAACTATCAAATAGAGATATAAATATTTTTTCTAATTTGAAAATATAAAAGAAATTTTTCGCTGGGAGATTTTAAATTGCTAAACACCTTTTCTTCAGAGTCACATGCTTTAAAATGCGTTAACAAGTTAGAATTGTTAAGTAAATTGCATTCTTCTGAGAAATTTACGCAAATTTCGCAAGAGTGGATATGTAATGATTTTTTGATTAAATAGCCACATACATAGTTAAATGCATTTTGAGTGGTCACATTTAGCTCCCTGTAGTCACATTCAGAAATTGTTATTGCCCCAACTGATTCTTTTGAAATATATTTAATTTTCATTAAGCAGAGAACTTGTTTACCTAAGGGAAAAACGAATCCTGGGATTCCTTTCCAGTGTGTGCCCCACTGCCGCTAGTGTCCACGAGCCGTCACAGGTTATATTGCTTTCTTATAAGATCAAAGCTTGAGTATGCGTCTGTCGTCTGGAGTCCGTTTTACCCAAGGATGATAAACTAAAGGAAGGATGGGCCACTTAAATTGATATGTCAGACTGTCAAATGACGTCATGGAATACTATTCATAACCTCAAATCTACGTATATACAGAAACACTTTTATATTGAAAAATACGATTTTAAATTATTACAAGAAACTTCTTTTCCAGACAATTAGGTAAGTATAAAAAAAGCAATTAAATAAATCATTATTTAAAATTCAAAAATAAAATATTTCAATAAAATACATGCCTTTACAACAAAAAATAACATTTTGTATTACTTTTTTATTTTTTAATTCATTAAATTCAAAGAAAATATCACTAATCTTAGATCTCTAGACCAAAAAGTGCCTACATAGGTAATAATTAGAAACAAACATTTAAAGTGTAAAAGATTAAAGGATTTTAAAAACTAATTATTGGCCTATTTTATAATTTTCAATAATTTTCTAGAGTTTTTTCTTCCGGAGTCATCAAGGTCTTCTTTGGCCTTTCTTTTAGTCAAACTATTTTGTTTTTTAATTCTTCGTTTTTAAGATTTCTGTAATTAAGCCTAATTATTGTTCGTAATTTGCAAAAATGTTTTAAAATTTTAAAAGAAAAGCTTTTCTCCAGTTTTGCAATTTTAGTTGCCAACTTTCGAACTACTCCAGGGCCACCTCGTAAGGAACCATCTGCATGATGCTTCCTGAAGTACTTATCCCATTTTTGAACTATTGATAGCCAGTCTTGAGTTGGCTTTATAAGTCCACCAAAAGACAATTTCTGTACCCATGAAGGAAGCGAGTAATTATGATCACTTTTGAATTTATATGTGTGATCGCCCAAGTTGTTATTTTCTGCCTGCTATGTATTCAATAGCATCTCCATAAATTTCGCCCATACTAGAATCCGTTGAATCCCCACCGCTTATAGTTGAAGATGAATTTGATGAATCAAATGATGTACTACTACCAGATTCATCAGGATTTATCATTTGTCCCATATTTTCACCACAAACTGGTTTATTTGCTTTATTCATGACCTGTGCAATAATGTACTCTGCTTCTATTTCACTTTTTGTATTTATTTGCGCCTATAAAACACTAGGATTTGTTCCTAAAATTATCAGTCTTATCCTTTGTAAAGCAATCAAAGGAATTGGATGTTCATTTGGTCCTCTGCTTCTGATTTGAAAGAAAATTTTTTTTTAATAAATCCTGATTTAACTTGTGGGTACAAATATAAGAAATTTTTAATTCAATTTTCATGTCTCTAAAAAAAATTTTAAGGGATTCAATGCCTTTTTGGAAGATCTGCATTGCTTGTTTACCTATTGGTCGCATATTAGTAATAGTCATTTTTATTTTATTTAGATGTTCTTCTTGTATTTTCAATGCTCTGCCATATCCATTTTTCGATGGAACTGTACCCTCTTCACAGTAACTATTAAAAATATCAAACCATTGATTTATATCCAAAATAAAATTTCCTAAATTTTCACACTCTATTGTATTCATGCCTGGCTTATTTTTATATTGCAATAAAGCAGTTCCAATAATGTTCCTTAGTAGTTGTGCAGCTAATGCAGCATTCTGTCGTTGAGATCTTTCACAACTTATGTGTTTTTCCAGCATGAATTAACCTCTGTATTTGTAATTTTAACAAGATTTATAAGAGGCGCTTTGGTAATTTCAGTATTTTTATCTAAACTGAAACCTTTATCTAACAACCTGTTGCGTATCAGTATTAGTAAATGTGGAACATCTGCAAACATATATACGTTTTTCTTCGTAACTGGATGCAAAAAATGAGAATTTTCCATACCAACTCCTAGTTCTTTCCACAATCCAACATTACCTCCTCCACAATCACTAACACATGCTACCACATTATATGAAATGAAATGCAATTCTTTTATTACATTTAACAAGATGTCTTTAGTCATTTTCTTGTCAAAATCAATAAAAATTGGTTGTTTCCAGTTGAAAAATAATCCTCTTGCCATTACTACCTGCATATAACTATGCGGGTCAATTATTTCATCATTAGCGGTATCGTATTCTAAAATTGACTTTAATTTGATTTCATCAAATTGAAGTACCACCGTTTTTTCATATGCAGAAATTTCTTCTCCATGCAGTTTTAATAATGCCAAAATATCATGCAATATCCCTCTACTAACACTTAATTTGGAAGTCCATCTTTTCATGGATGACAACGATGGTAATGGGTAATGGAGTTTATTTTTCAAATGTAAATAGCTTTATTTTACTATAATATCGCAACGTAAATGATATACTCATTTCTTCTGAAGTCCATCGAACTTTTTTAACAACAAATTTAACTGAAATAGGAAAAATAATAATAAAAACTGTACAATATAACAATGTTTTTGAGATTATCTACCTGATTTTTTATAAAAATCGTTTTTAATAAATTGCTAGCCATTTTGAACGTCCTTTTCTAACATCCGTTTTGCCTTGAATCCGGTTTCTATAATATTTGACTTGGTTTTGTAACCTTTTAACTTTATTTTGAAAAGTAACTTTCTGAAAGGTACTTCTGGAGATACCAGTTGGTTTTCGTCATTCACTTCTGTTACAGCCAAAACCACATGTGGAAGATTTTTATTGGGAACTGATGTCTTTTTTAACTTCTTCATAGGTGGCAATCCTACAAAAATAAATAGCATTTTTATAGTTAAGAAAATTGTTTGAAAATGTAGGTACATACCTAAATATTCATTTTGCAAATCTCTTTCATAATCAGTGGGCGAAAAGTGATTAGAGCAAATATGATTTTTTAAAGGATCAATATTTCTAGTCCCTCATCGTCAAATCCATTCACTTAAAATCGTCTGTGAAACAAAACCTATTGGCCTGGGAAATTTGTGAAATGACACACCAATTCCTGGCTTCTTATATGCAGAGTACTCTGCATTACAGCCAGAAACTACACAATATGCACCTGGCATAGGTGAAAAAGCCTATAATAAAATTTATGTTGAGAATTTTTAATATTTATAATCATGGACAACTTTCTTACCTTCATCTAAAAAGAGTTAACCAATACAAAATATAAACTCAAACACAAAATAACTAAATGCAAAATTCAACCAGTTCAAATAACAATAAAATAGCTACAAAAAATATAGTTTTACTTAAAACAACAGCAGAAAAACACGAAAAAAACAACATATAACACCATAAACAACTCTATATACTCGATGTTTTGACAACTGACAAGTGACAAGTATTTCGTGACGTCATAAAATAAGTTAATATGACTTCTTATGGAAGTGGCCCATCCTTCTCTTTAGTTTATCATCCTTGCGTTTTACCAACTTCACACAGAAGCAGTTAAAAGGCGGTTTCTAAAATTACTGTGTTTAAAGGAGGATGTTGTTTATCCGCCAATCGGAGTACTACACCAAAATCTTCTTCAAAGATATCATTTTTTAAGCCTCATAAATAGACGTGAATACCATTGTTATATGTTAGGTTTCAAAATTGTTAACGGTTTAATTGATTCTATTGAATTGTTGAGAAAAATTGATATCTGCAATCCGAGAGTATCCTCTAGAAATTCTAACATATTTCACATATCTGTACCTCCGCACAAATGTTCTAAAAAATTCTCCATTTCATACTATTAGCCGCGTTGTGAATAGTGTGGGTAGTGACATTGATATCTTCTCATGCAAACTTATGGAAATGAAATATCATTCCTAAAAAAAAAGTACTGTATTGTATTTTACTTACTAGCTGATTACGAATTTTTGTATAGTTTGTTCCACTTAGTCTACATAATGTATGTGTGTACTTTTATCCCTGCTCTGTAATTGGGATTGCCTGTAGAGCATTGTAATAAATAAATAAATAAAATAAATAAATTTGTTTTGCCATTGGTGAAGTAGGGCCAGAAATATTGTAAGGTTATAAAACATCGACCACTTATCATCAGGCGGTCGCCTCTACGCAGAGACGTACCTACTCCAGCCATTAAGTTCTGTTCTATAGGTATAATGATAAATTGGGTTAAAATAATTATTTTAAAAAATCGCTTGAATATGGGAGTTTATTAAAAAGCATAACTATTTCATATTTTAATCCGGACCTGGGAATCTTTTAAGAGACACAATTTTAGTGCTTATCTACATCTCGAACAATAGGTAATACTGATTTATGACCTTACAATATTTCTTGTTCTATTTTAGCAACGGTGGTAATCCTTTGATCCTATTGATGACGTACTTGGCCTGTTCTTAAAGAAAACACATTTTAGTTTGGCCTCTCTCACATTATTTTATTCTTGTTTGACTGACCTTACAGTTACCTGTCTAATCTTTGACATAGGTATTGCATATGAAGACTAGTCTTCATAGTATTGCAATTATTATTATAAAAGTAAATACGATAAGAAACCTAGTTAAATGAATGAACTATTTACATAGCAACTGTAGCTAACAAGTATTTAATAATCTAATGTTTTACTAAAAAATTAATATTAGCGACTACTTTTCTGAAAAAATTAATCTGAAAAGATAACATGACATGGTCTACATATTTCTGTTTGTCTACTTTTTGACACTTTAACTCTAATTAAACTACTACTTTTAAAGTTCGGTGTACCCAGATACACTGAAAATCTTACAAAGTGTCTAAATCGTAACAAAATTATGAATTTGAAAATTGTCGCTGTTACGTTCTTATTTTTTAATGTAATTCAATCAAAATTGATGGATACTAGTAAATATTTGGTTTCTAGACAGAAAAGAGCATTGATATGGAGTGATGCTGGAACAAATTGGGTTCAGGTAAGTCTTTTAGTCTGTGTCTAATAAATTGGTTTCAAAAAGATTGTAGCGTTTTCTATCTCAAAAATATCATACGAATGTTATAAGGATTTCTGTACAGTAAAGTGTTACGTTCTCTAGTATATTTTGTACGGCAAAATATTAGAGAAAATTAATGGATAGTTCGAGTTTTATTTTTGATGAAGCATATTTTACATTAAAAAGGTTACCCTAATCAACAACGTCTCGGGCAGGGTAGCTACACTTTCGAAAGATTTAAATGGCACCAGGGGCCGACTGATAGCTCATTTTAAAGGGTTTTTAATTTTCTATTCAATGATTTAAATAATTTTAAATTTGATTTATTAAATTTTGACCAAATTTTTGAAATAAATTTAAAATGTAAAATAAACTAAACAGACATAACAAGACGACTTGAGTTAATTTATTATAAACTGATACTAAGTGCTGATTAACTTCTTTTTTTCTGAAAATGCAAAAAAAAAATTTCGTCTGGTTGACTTTCGGTTTTGATTTTCTTAAATAATTACTTCTTATTTCGAACCTTATTGATTTTCAGAATTTTTGGTTCATCCTAACTACTTTAATATCAATTTTCTTAAAATCCGCCTATGCATTTCTAATGTGACTAATTTTACGAATTTCAATCATTCCTAACGTCTAACATTCCTAACATTCTTAACATTCCATACATTGTAAACATTCTCCAACGACCTGTCAAACAACAGCTGTTGATTGTAAAGGTTAGATTTTTAAGGCGGGTTGCGACCTTCATATTTGCAACCATAGCTATTTTTATTCGAAATTAGTCGTCAAGTCTGTCAATTTAAGAAAAATATATAAGCAGTTTATTAAAAATGACTTTTTGATGGTGGTGCTAACTTAAGCTTACTACTATTTCGCACCTGGCCACAAAATACCTTCATCAAATTTACTGGCTACCTGTCGCAACCCCATAGAATAATTAACCGGCCATTTTATTTGGCAAAAATCAGAAAAATGCTTGGCTGTGCCTGTCAAGTATCAAGATGTCAACTGTGATGTGTGAATGGCTCTTAAATGTCAAATTATTTAAAAATGTTTGTATGCTTCTTTTAGTTCTTTTGATATATATTGCAAATAATTTGTAATGTATCTCAATTCAGGCTTTCCTTAAATAAAGGTACAGCAAGACAGATAATATAATGTTTAAGAACATTTGTATAAGTACAAAGCACTTCTATATTATATAAAAGAGAGGTAGGATATAATGCTGGTTTTTTATAGATAATTTTAATATTGCGATTTTGGATTACATTAAGGGGTTGAAGTGCAATATCATATAGTCCACATTATACCATATCGCAAAATAGATTCAACCAGCGAATTGTAAATAATAAATTAGTAAACTCCTAGTCATAAATTTCCTCAATTCATTTAAAAATGAATCTTCTAACTTTGGTTGTTAATGACGTAATGTGATCAACCCATTTCAAATTTTTATTAATTATGATACCGAGGTGTTTTGTTGTGTTTTTCATTTTAATTGTAAAGTTGTCATTTATTTGTATGTTGAAAGAAGGCCTTTGTAAATTATATTGCTTTCTATGGATCTACTTTAACACAAAAATAGTTTTGTGGCTATAAGTTGCTATAACCTATAGTCGCAAAACAATTAATAATTTAAACATAGGAGGTAGTATTAATATAACATCAAGTAATTTTTTAAAATAAAGTACATGATCTCAAAACAGAAATAATTTATAATAAATGCGGGTAAAACGAGGGGTAAAATAACAATAAATTACTATCGACGTTCGGTCTTTCGTTCCAAGTTAAATCATTTCTCGTTTTTTTTACGCTACGAGTTTACCCTTGTGGGCCTCAGTCTCGATAAGGTGGGAACCACCATTTTAGCGTCTCTCGAATTTCAAATATTTTTCTTATTTTCTTAAGTCAACTTCGGTATATCTTAATTTTTTACTATACAATACCATTCCTTTCATTTAAGGCTATGAAGATCTTTATCATATTTTATTAATTCGTGATATACTCTATTAAATACAACTTTTGTTATCGTGACTGTCGATAATCTTGCGATACCACTTGTTCTATTATAAAGAATGATTCATAAATGTTTTTTTAAAGTAGGCCACGACCACCAAAGAGTCATATCCGTGTTAACTACCTACGGATTTCTCTGAATTAATCCATTAATTGATCATTTCGACATAAGTAAATATTAACAAGGTATATGCATATCTTACCGTACAGAAGTTAATAGGTAGGCAATACAAGTTCGCACTGTATAATTATTTAATAGAAATAAGATCGAAAGGAAAAGAGCAAATCTATAAGTCCGTGTCACAGCAAAATCGAGTGACCGTTTTCCTTCTGAAAACAACTACTCCCATGGCTAATAATGCAACAGGCATTATTTCAAGAGGAAAAGAGCAAAGATAGAAAATCATTTTCAACATTCTAGCTTGCTGTGATACGGACTTAGAAATTTGCTCTTTTTCTTTCATATTCATTTTCAAACATGGTCACATTTGAGAAATTGCAATTATTTCCCTAGAAATAAAATTATTGAAATTAATTCAATTAATTGTTACTTCACAAAGAATTAAAATTGAAGAAGTAAAAAAAAATCATAATTTTGGTGAATGTAAACAAAAATCTTTAAAAATTTGGTGGACGAACACATTTTTTTTATGATTTTTTCATTCAATTACACATTTATTTATTAAATTTAAAATTAAAAATCATAATGAATTCCAAAGAATATAAATAAAATTTAGGATAAATCAACAAATTGGTAGTTGTTTATATAATCCTGAAATATAAAAATAAATATATCTACAGTAAAAGGGTGTTTTATAAATAATGCGCAATCTGCTATTTTGTTCGCGTTTTAAGTTAATTTTTCATATTTTTATCTACATTTTAAACTTTATTATCACGTAAAAAAATAAATAATAAATCTTTTGGCTACAATATTTATTTATAATAAAAACATTAATTTTTAGTTTATTTTTGGTTTGGGTCTCCCTATAGACGTGGAAAGACATGCAATAACAATGGGAACTGTATTTAAAGCTTTTTATACATTACCTACAAATGCCAGCGCTTATTTAGCACCCAATATAGACTATACCAGAAGAAAACGATCTACATCTAGGTGGTTGTTATACGAATCACTAGAGAGTTTAATGGCGAGGTACTTTAAATTTTATAGTTGCAAGTATATAATAGTCGTTGATAAAGTATAGAATTCTACTCGCCTATAATTCATGTTCTAAGTTTTATCCTCGTGATTAATAGCATTATTTATTCGTGGAATAATATATCCTTCAACGATGCTATATTTAAAAACGTTATATTTTTTATTTGAGGTACAATAATGGAGATGGAAAATCCTGTATTCTCAGAACTATCTGTGAAGTGGCCCATTCTCCCATCGAACAAAAAGCTGGATTACTGTCAGAAATTGTTGCAGCAATATTAAAGTAAGTTTCTATTTATAAGTATATTTTTACAGAAAACAATTTTATTTATTTATTATGTGCATTTGCAATTGACAATATTTTTAATTAACTGTATTTAATAGATGTTGTAGATTATGAAAGCCTTCTCGTTATTATGAATGTACCCAGCAAACATTTTGTGCAGGGTAATAAAAGGCTTAATAACTGTTACCCTTCAATTGTAATGATGACCATTTAACTTTTATAATTAAAAGGCCGGCATATATAGGTCACTACGGCCGACAGTCGGACCGAAATCACTTAGTCATTAAATACAGATAATAGGCCTACGTTTTCCCTTTAATGTCTAGAAATAAATATATTGGCAATTAATGGCTTATTGATAGAAAGTTAACGGGAAATTGCTGGACTTTTACTATATAAATACTTACTGCTGAATAAAGACCATGTGTCAGGTACATGACCAGTCAGGATATTCGATAGTGCCTCTTTGACCAGTAGTACCGTTTGAACTATAAATTCTATACAAAAACAGAAGGCATTTCAATATAGAATATTGTAGACATTCTATTTAATTCAGCTATTTAATATAAGGCAAAAAAATGTCTTCTTAAAAAAATTATTCATAAACTATTCTAAATTAACATGTAAAAGTAAAAAAATTACAATGGATACTGAATAGTGCGAGACTGGTCTTATAGTACATGTCCACTCGTTGAGTATGTATCAAGCGATCATCGGTGTCTCCATCTATGAACGCGGGACGGAGCCCTACTGGACTGTTGGAGTTGGGTCTGCGGCAGTTAAAAGCCTTTTGACTTTTACCATGCTTTTACCCAATACAGTTACTTACCCTTTATAACGCCATCATCAAGTAACATAATCCTGGGCCTCTATCGAAAGGCCAAAAGTAGGCTTTCATCTTTTAATCGTCGCAATCATTTTCCCTTCAATTACAGCAATATCCTGTCTATTTATTGCTTGTTGGGTATGATTGTGGTTGCAGAATTACTACACTCGCCGCTAACGTGGCTGGTGCCAACTTTTCTACTCGCATGTAATTAGCTTCTTATGTAATATATTATTATGCAATTCTCATGTAATGGTTGTTATATGATCATTACTTAATGTATTATTACAGCTTCCTCATCTATATTATATGTACTTAAATTTTATGTTTCTGTTTTTTTATATTTTTTAGACCGTCAACAACCAATGAAGAATTCCATCATCCTACTAATATGGATTACCATTCAGCAGAAAAACTTGGAAAAACTGAAGGAAACTGTGATTATTTCTATCCTGGCTGTAAATTAAATATTCTTGAACAATATTCTAGGTTTTTAACATAAGTGTGATAAAAAAATAATAATTTCATTAAAAAAATAAAACTAATTTTTAATTTTTAATGTTTTTGTGACATTGTTTTTCAAGATTAGAAAAAGCCAGAAATACATTATTTTTTGGCGGCAGAATATACATAAATTATAGCTCACATCCACGTTAATAAATACATAGAATAATATTGGAAAAAGTTAACGAAGAATAATATAATAACCAATTCAATTCAATTAAAAATCTCTTTATTTACATACAAATATATATACAATGCATTGGTTAACGTATACACTGTATTTATTTCACGCTCGCGATCCTGCGAGACAAAGAATCCCCCCATGCTTGGTTATATTAGACGTGGTTGACGTCCTAACCCGTAATACCTGGCCCCAATTTATAATTTATGACTGCAAGTGTGCCATCTCCTTATCCGGCGATATAATATGGCAGTATTGGCGAGTTTGAGATCGAAAGTTAAAATGAAGTGTGAGTTTTTGTGTGAATTTATTTGTATATTGCGTTCCCTGGGAAAAACTTCGAAAAACCAGGGTTGTCCTTGTGTGAATGCATGTGATTTGTCGTCACTGTTAGTGTACGTGTGATGACCTATGTTTTCATCTCTAACACTTTGAAGGACTCTCTGGTGGTCATCTTTGTCATCAACGAGAAGGATTGTGGAATTGTTCGTGTGCTTAACACTAAACCCTCTTTTAATTTTGGCCTTAAGATCCTTTATTAACGCTGTTTCGTTAACTGTTTTGCCATCAACCACGATAGGGGGCATCGATCCTTGTTTCTTGTTCGTGACGTTGGCTGGTTTAACCTTAGATTTGTTTGTAGGGATGTTGAGAGCGTTATCGGTGATGATTTCTTTATTGGGACTTTTGTCCTTTAGAGTAGCTTCTTTGGGGGTGTTTTTCCGTCTTCTTTTAACTATTCTACCGATTTCGCCGTCTATATCGGAGTCCGACTCATCCGTAAGTACTATGTATTGGTTGCTGGTGGTTGTGAGCGTTTTTAGACTTTTCTAGGATGAGTCTTTGAAAGTTTGAACTGAATTTCCTCGGAGTCTCAAACGGAAGTTGATTTGTTTGGGTAATGTGCTCATCAATAATTATTACTTGTAGTTTGTCTTTGCCTGGGCTAGGGAAAGTGCTATTTGATGAGGTGGGAATTTTTACTCCGCTGTTAGGGTCGAGTGCACATGTACCCCTTTCTTCTTCCGAGGTGCATTCTCCAGTATTAAAGCGATGTATGGATTCCTGGAGGGAAGTGGGTGTGTTTGAGGCATTTACATGGATTTTTATCTCACTGTTGTCTAGAATGTTTATTCGGTTACTTGAGGTGAAGGTACTAATGCCTGTGGAAGTTTGACTTGGCGATATGAGTGCAGACTTACCGAGATTTGAGCTACTCAGTTCACCCATCTTTCGGTTTGTCATTACTCGGTCGTTTTTTATTTTCTCCATACTTTTTGTTTTAAAAATATTGTGTTATTTTTTAGGTATGGTTTCTGTTTTGCTGGTGGAGGGTGCGTGTAATAGAAAGTTAATTTTTTTTAACACTCTTAAATAGTACAATAATCGAAAGCTTCAATTGACAGTATGTAATTGTTAAAGCAAATGATTGTTATTTATCGGTAGAAACCTCAAGTGTTGAACACCCAACTTCAACATTTTTTAATGATAATGAGAAAGAGGGCGCGGCGCAACTCGATAAAAACTGGCTTTTTGAAAAAGTGCTAAAAGGAAAAAAAACTTAAAAAATAATGTATTGAACCAATGGTGTCACAATACTTATTTAATTGCAATGCATAGAAAAGTTTGGGGTTTTTGGGGTTCAAACCCCCCTAAAATTGTTATGGGCTATACAGATTTCGTGGTTTTATGTAAAAAAGATGCTCTTACAAAAGATAGCCATGTATCCGTTTTCATTACAAAATGTTAAACAGTGAAATATTGGAAAAAATCGATTTTAATTTTGTACTTTCCAAGGGCTGTAACATTTGCATTAAAGTAAGTTATGTTTAATCGAGTTATTTTTGACCCCAGAATGCGGTTCCATTTATGACCTACCTTTTTGTTACACCCTGTATAGTTCAGTGATAGGAATAGCAAAATCTGCAAGATGCGCCAACTTGAGACACGACGTAGAGAACGATTCGTGTCGCGTTGCCAAATTTATTAGTATTACGTAGTTCTGCTTAAGTAAAATATTGAAATAGTAAAATGGATACACATTTGATAATTTTATATTATATTTATTATAGGTTGAACTGAATAATCTTTTAGTAACTCAATTTTCTTTTTAATGAAGAGAAATATCTAACAATTTAATGAGCATATAATAAAATAAATAGACCAGATATAAAAGAACTAGTTTAAAAATAATTGGAATTCTTCTATTTAGAGCTATATACAGGAGTTGATATAATTAGTGATAGAAGCAATTAGTAAAATTATTATTTGGTCAAAATTTGCGGTGGCAATTGTGGTTAAAGATTAATAGGCAAGTATGGCCCAAAAACAGATTGCATTAAAACATTCCTAAACTATTAGACAAATAATTTTAAAATTTATTTTGCTAAAATAGCAAAAAAAACACAAAAATTATGTTTCAATTTATATATTCATCGTAAGAAGAATACCTTTCAGGTTCCAATGAATCTATTATACCAGCCTACATACTTAAACTTAAACAGGTAAAACACTTTAGAACCATTTAGAACAACAAAAAATATATTATAAATGGCATTATTGGAATAAGGACCAATCTTTTCACCTCTGAGTAAAGTTGAAAGTAACTACTTGCTGATTAAACTATAAGGCTATTGTTTGTTAATCTGTCAAGTAATCCTACACGTAACTTTACCCAGAAGTGAAAACACCGGCCCTAAATATAACGGCATTCAAAAAAGTAAGAACGAGAGAGCTACTGTCCTTCAGCACTCCTACATCTGTTGATAAATTGATTATATATTATATGTGGTTACTCAAATGAATCAAACAAAACATTTTTTTTAATTTATTTAGGTGAAAATACTATCAGTATCAGAAAACGGATGAGTAAACATATCCATTAATGATGCATCACATTCTGGGAAAAATTGGTGACATTTTCCTCCATTGTTCATACCGAGAGCTTGTGCTGCAAAATACTGGTTATCTGTATGATGATCTACTTCTTCGTTAGTACTTGTTGGTCTAAAAAAATAGAAAAAAAAACATTACCTACATGATCATGTATGTAGATGGTCCTTCGAATAAGATAAACTGGTACAGAAGGATTAGTTTTAGTATGTTATGTTGGGATTGGGGTATTAAAACATTGCGACCTAAAAGATCTATTGTGCCCCCTTCTGTCGACAATTCAGCCTATAACGGCCCTCCCAATCCTATCTTCTCACATAGCTTGTTCTTGCTCAGGCAGATGCTGGCTTCCGATATTTTCTGGTTATATTCGCCCAGAAGTATCTTAGCCTGTCTTTGCCCCAAGAGATTCTTTCAATTATCGGTTCTTCTACTGCCAAATTATTTTTTATTCTCTCCTAATATTATATTACTGCTGATACCGCAGAATGGCGCAGGTCCCTCAAAGGGTGTTTGAATCCCTTTCCATTAGTTTTAGTAACACAGCAATATCTTTTCATTTACAATATTATAGATATTAGTACAATTTTTCATTTTAAAAATAAATAAACTTACGTAAAAATTGAATGGAACAATTCTTCAAATAAACCGTGATCTTTATCTAATGGCGTCTCTGCAGCTTTGCATATTGATCTTAAAACACAAGATTTTCCTTCATACCCTCTACTGAAATGAAATACCGTATTTAAATTACAAAAATAATTATTGTTTTAAATAAATTATTGCATCAATATTCTCGTATTTATTGTACAATCAACTTTCAGAGCTGGTGAGATAGCTAAAATAAACCATCGGATAGACAGTAATTGGAAATTAAGTAGAAGCACTACAAATATTATATTCGATGATAAAAGTCTATTTCAATTGGCCGATGGAAGCTGTGTAACCTAGACGTGGCTAAACCTAATTTTATGTCTTTGTACGGTGCATGTTCATCTCAAATTATGTATACATGGTGAAGTTATTTTTTTTTAATATGTATGAAAGACCTTAAAATAAACTTTTTTTTAAAAAACTCAAAAATAAATAATGTATAAATTTAAATCGGGACACGAAAAATTAAAACGAATTAATGTCAGTCTATGTTTTTCTGTTTTTCGGTTTTTCTTTCTAATATGAATCACGAATAATGTAATGCAGTGACCTGATTTGTTAGTAGGTCAGTAGTATGTTTATCTGTTAGGGGGCGTCCATTAATTACGTGAGGTATTTTTAAGGATTTTTTGACTCCCCCTCCCCCCTGGCGAGATTTGGTAAGATTTTCCTTAACTCCCTCCCCCCCGTCCCTAATCTCACGTGAGATTTTTTAAAATTCGTGTTTTGGGTGTAAATGTGTTGGATTATTAAAAAAAAACAAAAACACAATATGTTCCATTACTTTTATTTAAGACTAGCAAAGACTAGTGTTTGAGAGTGTTGCAATTATTTAAAAATTAAATGATAAATACTTAAATGGAAATTAATAAAAAATAAATAAACATAATTATAAGATTTTTCCAAGTTTTATTCTAGAAATACTTTTACTATAATTTAACTTTACTTTCACGCAATTTCACACCGTTTTCTACTGAAAAAAAAAATTACGTGAGATTTACGAAAACCCCCCCTCCCCCCCAAGTGAGATTTAGAAAGATTTAGTTTTATCCCCTCCCCCCTTGAACACCTCACGTAATTAATGGACGCCCCCTTAACTATAGAAAATTGAAAATTAAGTGCGTTTTGAAGAACACATTTTAAATAATGTTATTAAGGACTTGTTATTGGATAAGTGCGCGGGTGATCGCACATCAGGTGGGTACCTGTTGCAATATTAGCCAAGGGAACAGTTGTTTTCCAAAGGGAAACGGTCGCTCATTTTTCGTGAAATATGGGTTTGAGTTTTATTTATTTTATTTTACGTCTTGGTTAACATTTGACTTTTTTAAAATTGCCAGCCTGACTTTTTGGTTCCACCTAGTTTTCTAACTGGGTTCTACTACAAGCGACATTTGATTTTGCTTTCTAGTAACATATGGCGACACCATTTTAACTACTTGAAATCTTGTTCTTTTCGTAACCAACAGTATTGTATACTTGTGAGTGTTAATTACATTAGTCCTAAATAGTTCTAATAAGGACGAAATCGAACCAAAGGTAGAGTGTTGAAATTTAATTTCTATCTCTGCTGTCTTTCCTTTGGATGTTTTATACAAAAGAGTAATTGTTTTCCGAAGGGAAACGGTCGCTCTTTTTTGAGTTGGAATTATTTTCCTTTGTTATAATAGTAAACGTATTCGCTCAGTGCGAAGTCATGGTAGGGGAAGCAAAAGCGATACTAGCTTAAGCTGCGGATAATTCGTGCATTTTAGGGCGATATTTTGTAATTTTAGCACATCATCTACACGCACACATTTTACTTTTTTTTTTTTTTTTTTTTTCAAAAAAACAGGTAAAAACAATATAAAAAGCAAACGGAGTTGCTGTGTTGTAAATTATAAGAATACTAGCAAAAAAACAGTGTAAATTATAAAAATTTTCATTAGCAAAGTGGAAATTAAATCAAATAAATAAATGGATAACTGTACAATAGGAAGAAATATTACCTTTATTTCCTTACAGTAATACTGGAAATAGCAGTAGACATCAGAAACTTGAAAGGTTTTAAATAATTATCATTCTACGATGTTCTTCAACATCCCTTTATTCTTTAGAACAAAAATAAAAATATAAATAACAATCCTTCTGTTTATACATTTTAACTTCACGCTATTATTTAATGGTATTTTTTTAATTTTGACAGAATAGATTAATTCTTTAAAGACAACTTATTAGACATTTTCCCGTAAATACTGTTGTCTGCCTACATTTTATTATTGATTGTTTTACAAATCCATATACTTTTATTAAAACTAACATATATACTTTTTAGTTACGAATTCTGTTAAAAACTGTATTGTCAGTACACGCAAAAACAGTCCATTGGCAAATAAATGAATTGGCGCTACTGTCACGCACGGCGCGAATAACTGCAATTATTAGCGTTATTATGAAATATAAAATTAACTATTCTATTTCTCTGCTGTATTCAGAAATATGTACAAATCAAATCAACAATGGTATATAATTTACTTTAGCCATACTATGTAGAATTATTTTTATAATGTATGATATCAATCTCAATATCTTCCAATTTCTATTGTTTTACTTTTTAATAATATATTTTTATGTTGCCAAATAGAATTTCGATTTGGAAGAAGATGTAAAAACGATTTTTAAATATCATGAATCTAGACTTACGACGTGGCTTCGTGTTCCAGCATTTTGTAAATATCCCATCTTGAAACATGCCTCTTTTTACGACTCGATCCATAATCTGAATATTGGAGTGCTGATATGTTTGCTGGCAAGCCGTAAACTGCTCTTATACCCCATCCGAATATAACCGATTCTGGACTTACTTCGACAGGTATGCCTAGACCAACAATCAACTGCAAATTATAAGTTTTTTTTTTGAATAATTTTACTTATTTTCTAGATAAAATTACTTAACCGTTTAATACAATTAGATAAGAATATGGAAATTTAATAAAATTGCTTGTCTCTTTTCCACTACTTCCATTAAGTATTTATATGTTATTTACTTATAAATAACTTGTATACAGTGAGGACGCTTAGGTTGGAATACATTAAATACTTTTCTGTCTAACAGTATTTTAAGAGGGCGAGTTGTTTAGTGGTTAAAGTCTGGACTTGAAAATCCAAGGGTCCACGGTTTGAATCACACCGTTGGCAGGGAATTTTTTATTTAATTGTATTATTTAAAAATAATTCTGATGCCTAGGTAAGATTCCCCACTCCGACCATTCACTGTTGGGTTCTAATTAACAGTGCTTTTCCTGAAGTGACACTGGGAAACAGTAACAAAGCCTGCACAGAACACACATGAATAAGAAGACAAACACAAACTGAGACTGGTATACAAGGTAGGTATATATGTTACGGGCAGTATTGTAAATTGGGCATTGATGATATTGACGGGACACTAACGTCAGCAGCCATATTTGCTGGCCAATATCGTTATTATCTGGGCAGTAACGAAAATGCCCATTAATCGTGGACAATGTTGATAATATTTTTTGTTTGTTTCAAATAACCTATATCTATAAGCGCATTGGAATAAAAAATGATGTATGAAACACGGATGAAAAGTGTATTTTCGGACTCCTACGAGTTCACAAACTGGCAAACTTCTCGTAGTTGCCCGAAAAACTAAACTTTTCGTCCTTATAACGTAAACTACTATTGTGTACCAAGGCCGTAAAGTTGATATTGTGAAAAACAATATTCATTTTCCTTATATTTTATTGTCATATTATAATATTAAACAATTTACCTGTATTATGTTGGTTCCACCACCACTGGGAAACATAAGAAATCTTTTATTTCGACTCAAAGCAGTTTCTTCATTTTCATCTTTAAAAGAACCATTTTTAAAACATTGAAATATGATGGTTAAACTTATAACATAATATATTTTCATTTCAGAATTTTCATTACACACAGTTGGCCTACCAAATTAGGAAAAATATGCTGTTATTTTTTGCGTTAAATAAGTTGTTTGAACTCCAGAAGTGCTAATGGGATTTAAGTGGTCAGCCAGAGGCGTAACATCTAATTTTATTGAAAAGGAGAAAAATAATAAACAGATTTTACTTAATGAAAAATTTTTATTATAATCGTCTCATCTACATTATTATTCCTTACAAATAAAACAATTATTAACATTATAATATTATTGATTTATCAATTACATAACGTAACAATAACTATGTTAGTGATTATCATCGTTATCGCAATTTTGAGTCTTGCAAATGGCGGCAGATTTTACGTTTTATTCATCAACTTTTCAGCACTCAAAATAATTTATTTATAATATTTATTTCCATTCTTCAGATTCTTTTAAATATATTCTAAAATTGATCCTTCATTCTTTTCATTCAATAAAAGTAATAATTTTGAAAACCTTGGCCACATTTTACAAATTTTACAAATACCTAATACAAATTCTCATAAAAATCTCATACACTAGTAAATATCACAAAAATTGAAAAAAAAAAAAATTGGTTACATAAATATAAAGACTGGTTCTATAGTTACAAAGACGAATCAAAAACATGCCTTGCAAATATTAATGGCCGTTGGCCGTACGAAATGTTTTACTAGCTCAGGAATAGAAACCTCACATTATGTTCTGAGGTTGGTCTAGACCTGTAGACTATGGAGCAAGAAAGATTCCAGTATGATGTATATAAAGGTGAGTTTTTTTTTAAAAAGATCCATTCAGAATATCTTAGAAAATAGAAATGCCATAAAAATCCCAAAACATCAATTTCTTACTGCAAGCGGGACATATTTGTCTGAGTTTGGCTGGTGTTCACTGTTGTCTGAGTGCATTCATTTCCCAAAAATATCCTTTAAATTGAAGTGTTAACTTTGTTGCCAAATTGATCCATATATAATTATATTTCATGATGAATACACAGAGAGAAATTCATGCTCATTTTAAGCAAAGCATGCCACAATATTTAAAAAAATTTTAAGTACGCATGCTACACCATCGTTGATTTGTTTTGAAATTAACAACGTTAGTGCTTATTGTAGTGCCTTAGAAGCACTACATACTAACTCCAACTCATAATATATTGATATACATGTCACGCACCTTCCACACATATCAATCTTATTTTATTATATTAATATATACCCTCTTACCAACCGCTATTTTGTTTACAAGATGGGATCCCAAAGTTAAAAGATCCCACATTTATTTATAGCTTTTGATTTTAAAATTGAACAAGGCAATGTTATTTTAATGATGCCAGGATTCAAATAAAGAATATTTAACTTAAATTAAGAGTTATAGACATGCTGGATTTAAAATACGCATTCTTGGTTACATACTTAGACAAATTTATCTCTGTGTAGTATTTTTAATGTATCAGAAAAGCTCCAAAAATTATTAAAAAAGAAACAACCTCTAATCGAACAGATATATTATACAACCATAAAAATAAAATAAAACTCTTCATGGGAGAGTAGGCGTTACTTATATTAAATAATTTCATTTTGAGGTATTTCGTCATATTTGCCTATATACGGAGTGTTTCATGAGAAAAGGACTTATTAAAAAGACGTGTTCTGGAAGACAAAATAAGCAAAATATCTTATATAAACATGTCTCCGGAAATACGTTCTTTTCGAGTTGCACGGTGATAAAGAAATTATAAAAAAATCGTTTCTCTTAACTGTTTTGAAAATGATTTATGGTAGCAGTTTTGATAACACCAATTATCACTGTAGCATCTGTTACCAAAACGGCTATCCTAAACAATTTTCAAAATATTTCCCTTTTCTCACGAACACCCTGTATAGCATCTCTCAAATGAATGAAACAACTCTAGTGTGCATGATTAAAAAATTATTTTTATAAATGCATAATATTCCACTTCGTTTAGTATAAAATTTTTCCATTTTATTAATAAAAATAAGTCTAACACTTAACATACAACATCACAGAGACTCAACCAATAATACTAGTTGACTTGTAAAGTGTGTAGCGCTATCTTTCTTAGATTTATTCGCTCTCTCTCTGACTGTCCTTTCTTGTTATTCTTACACTTTGTCTCGTTTCAATAAGAGTTATCTGTTGAAATGCATCAAATAAGTCAAATGACAATATTTTGTTCTATGATTCATCAGTTTTGCACGTATTATTTATTGTTGCACCTATTTGTTATTAGTTAAATATACGTCAAGTGCAAAACTGCCAATAGTGTCATTTGTCATTTTCCTGTTCGTCTTGCGATGAGAAAGAGATTGAACTCTATCTATTACGCAATATGACTGTACCTCAAGTTACTTAAGCGTAACACTTTATTTAAAAGCCAATTCTATTTGTAATTTAATGAACTTTATAACAAGTCGTAAATACCTACAAACTATAAGCGCAATTACCAAAATAACAAATTTACACAACTCATTAAATTACCTATGAAATTAGCTTTCAAATAAAGTGTTACACTTTACAATACATAATAGTTTTTTATGCCGGGAGAGGGCGTTAAAATTAAAAGTAACGCCATGAATCATATTGGGTATTTTCCGTATTTAAATTGAATTGATTACAATAACGGTGGGGAGGGGAATGACGTATGACAGTTGAAGCTAGGATAGATATAAAAATTGACGCCTGTGAGATTTGTTTTATGACAGTTCTTTACTCTGAGATATTTAGGGTGGGTTCTTTTTAAAATATCACCCTGTATTTGGAAGAAGTGAAAAAATACAACTTTTTCAAAAGTTACGTCTTCAAAAAAAGATTTTTGCATTATTCGTCAGGGTTAATACTAAAGCCTACCTATTGGTGATCTAATGTGATAAGAAGAAAACTTACTAATAATTTTCATCATAATTTTTATAACTTGTTGATAGTAACATCAATTTTTGCTTTTTATAAGAGAGTCGTTTTAAGTTCCTTGAGTGGATTTAACTCAATACTTCAGTAGCTAATAAACATTAGAAATTTTCATTTTATGTCTAAAAGTAACCCATGCACTATTAATTTTTATACAAACCATTTTGGTTTTTCTGAATGAAATGGATTTTTAATTATGATTTAATCCAATATTTGAGCCACAAAGAATTTTGTTATGATTTGATTCATGTCCTACAAAATAATAACTTGTATGAAAACAATGCTTTGTTATTCTTAAGTAATATGAAAAATTTCAAATAAATTGTTAAAAAATTATTAACAATTATATCTATTTACCAGGGCATTAAATACAGAGTGTTTGTTGAATTTAGTAATATTTTAATAAGAGTATAAATTCCAAGAAACAAACAAATTTTCCAAGTAACTTTTTTACTTCCTGAAAAATTGGGGCGATATAACCCTTTTAAAGTTTTAAGTCTGGGTCCGTTTCGGTTGAAAAAGATATTTCTCCTCACGAGATTATCAAAAAAAGTGTTAATGAGCGTTTTTACTAAATCCAGTTTGTTGTTTAAATAATAATATGTTTTAAGAGTAAAGTTCTGCACACCTTTTATTCAGTCAGACAAATAGATCTATATAAAATTAATTCAGTAGTTTTAATCAGTAATGAACCCTGAAGTTTATGTGTAGAAGTTATATTTATTTTATAAAAGTGGACTTGAAAATAGAGTGTAAAATGAATCGAATGTTTTATATTTTTTATGATTAAGCTTGTTTGCATTTGTGTGAGAAGTGCTGAAACGTTGATTAAGAACAGACAATTTAAAGTTCCTCTGGAACCATTTTGAGTAACGCCATTTTCTTTTTCGCCACTTTCGAGATCAGTATGTCGATAGGTTTCGCGGTGTCGTACAATGAGGGAGCATTGAAGATGATAATGCCGGTGCCGAAGATACAAGCCATTGTAAAAATCCACAAGAATAGCCTGTCGAGCACCATTGCCACGTATTTCCAGTCTTCTTCTACCTAAAAAAAATGATTGAACTTATATTAAAAGCTATCGACCTATTTCTTTAATTTCAATTTGTAAGAGTTTGGAAATGTTATTGGAATAAAGTAGGTATCAACGTCTAAGGAAGATGAAGTTTGTATTATACGAATCAAAAGCAAAAGCTCTGAGAATCTCCTCTTAAATAAGCTTTGATTACACCCATGGATAAGAAAGGTTCTATGGATGATATAGAAAATGATCGTACTATTTTTCATGTCTATTTTAAACTTTTTATTAAAATACTAGAAAAACTGTTGCAAACAGATGCACAGCACGGGTTCTGACCCAAGATAACCTACAGTCTTTTATTTTTGCCTTAATTATTTCCGGAAACTTGTGTTAGGTTTTAAAAATGTACTGTGGATGAGGTGGCGCCAATTTGTAACCGTGCTAATTCGAGACATATGTGTTATTAAATTCATCGTGTTACGTATTTGTTCACATTAAGAGATAAGAGATAGAAATTTAAAGTGACGTCTTGTATTACTTCGAATGAAGAATCGTTTTCTAACCTAACAAAAAAGTTGAAGTTTTAAATAAATATAAAAAATAAGTGTATACTTACGTTTTCAAACGAGTCCTTATTTCTAACATGTTGAGCAATGAATCTGGAATCGGCAATGGTTTTTTCCATATCGTGGATTTCGACTTTGTCAAATGATGGACTGATATCGCTCGTACCATCGAAGGTGTTTGTCCTGCAACTAGCAGGGCTGTACAAATCTTCATCGCCTCCTGCTAGAGGCAATGGAAACGGTGGTTCTCCGAAACAAGAACCTAAGCCCCCACTGTGAGGTACTTCGAATCTAAAAAAACTGTAATTTACTGAATTGATGGATCGAAAAAATAGTTTCAAATAATAATGTGTAAGATTTTAAACTTATAGATGAATACCAAAGTAATAGGCAGTAATTTAATGTGTCGAAGTCTGTAGAAATGTTTGGAAGTTATGCAACAATTGTTTTTTTTTTCTCAGTAGTGGGCATATATTGCAAATGCATATAATGCACCTCAGTCAGCATTCTTGATATGTATATTCTTTTCATTAAATGACTGCATATTATTTTGATATTTAACTACAGATACCCGTAGTCTATTAATTTTTTTTATAACTTATTTTTATAGAAAAGTAAAATGCATGAGAAACTATGAAATAAGTAATAATGGTCCCTTTTCGGACTGAAATAAGTGGCTCGTCATCTTTTTGTTTGCTATTTGTAGTTGGGTACAGAAGAGGGGGTTGAACAACATGTACTATGTTCTGGTAGTGGGGGCGGTTATCGGACCTATGAAATTTAAAGTAAAGTTTCATATCGATGGATTTTTTATTTTATACTGGCAATGAAAACTATGCTTCTAAACATCAATAACAATAAAATATCTCAGAAAAATAGACAGTTTTTATGGGACCGACCAGAACCCAATGGTATATTATTTAAAACCCCTATGGATTAAAACCATTATTTGCATAAACTAAGTACTTTTCATTTGATCCTTTCTTTATTAATCCTTGCAAACCAATATTAGAAATGATTGAAATACTCCTAAACGATTGCAAATTTTAATAATGATGTTAGTAAGCAGTAACAGTAAACACAGCACATCTACATAACCTAAAAAAATGTTCTTATTTTTTGATAGTTATAACTCAGTGGTAAACGAGTTTTGATAAATCTTATATAATACACATATAATTAAGTTATATCGTAGTGGTAATAAATAATATCATACATGTAAATTAAACTTACATAATTAAGTTATAATAACCATATGTTGTGTACATAAAAGCAACGAAAGTTTAAGTTATAAAATAATACACTGAGAGAAAAAAGTAGTTTATATTTAAAATATTGTAAGTTAGGAAGAAATTCTTTAAATATTAACTGAGGAAATTTATTAATACCATAATATTATAATAATTATTAAATATGTCACAAATACGAGTTTTTTATAACAAAACATTTGTTACAGTAAGGTATAGTAGATATTAACAAATATTTTACTCAAAAATATACGTATATTTAAAAATAACTAATATGTTTATCTACACATTACAAATTTCTTAATATTAAAATACAACACTTTAAATATAACAATTGTGCTTTCCCGCTCTACGAAATAAATAAATTTTAATATACAACTATGATAAGTTAACTATTAACGAATATATTTTTAATAATACTCAAAGTCCCCTTAATGCGCCGATCTCAACGTTGCCATTCACGTTGTGTTATTGCGCTATCATAGGAAATGTAAAAAATTCATTTCCTATTAGGTACCATTTTGCAATATTTTTTCTATTTATCGTTAACATAACTAGCGTTAATTAATTTAAAAGTTATTTGCTGTATTACTAGTGGCCTATAACTAATTATTGTATTATAAATTTGCATTTTTTTAAGTGCAGTATGCAGTCCCAGTGGGTAGGTAATTTGAGTTTCACAAATTGGCAACATGGAACACCACGTGGTTTCTAATTGCCATTTTGTTAAGCACATTCTTGTCTGGTTACAGTTCGCAGTGCAGAATCGTTCTTTTTGTGAGTGACGCCGACCGACAATAGCAGCTAAATTTATTAAAAGTTTACAGTTATTTTTTATCCTAGTAAGTAATCATATTTATTTAATAAATTCTAATAATAGGTACGTATTATTTTCGTGAATATTGTAATTAATTAAAGTCAAATATTGAGAAGCATTCTATTCATGGGATATTTGCCATGTTTCAACTCAACTAAGTAAAGCGTCTTTTTCGAAAGCTTCTTGTTTTTATAAAATTTAAGTACCTACAGTCACTACATGTTTCGAAAACACTGTTCCATCTTCTGGTGCCAGTCAATATTTAATAACTGGCACCAGAAGATGGAACAGTATTTCCGAAACATATGTAGTGCCCGTAGGTACTTAAACTTTATAAAAACAATAAACACGACCGAATAAACTTTTTAATTATATAAAATTCTACTACGGTAAGAAAATTATCCTTAAGGTGATTACAGCACCCCTTATAATTTTCGAACAAGCATATCTTAAAAAGTAATTTTTTTAAAAAATTTAAATGTTGGCAAAATCAATGAGGCAATAATATCTAAAATATGCATATATTTTAAAGTTTTAGTTCCTTCCAGTTTCTAAGAAAAAAAATCAAAGGGCTTTAAATTTTGAAATATCATAATGAAAATAAATGCATTTCTCAACAGCACTATTCTTAATATAATTCCTAAATTTAAGCTCTTAATCTCTTGTTAATGATTTTTTAAAATTGACAACAAATTGAAACAAAGTTTATGTTTAATTTCATCATTACCAAATACACATTTTACAAGCTACAGTTACCAGTCTACAACCGCTTTTAGCTGATAGGAAGGAACCATTACAATCGTTTTGAGAGCAAATAAATGACTTTTCGACTTTTGGTTCCGATTTTACACACCATCTTAGATTCAGAAAAAACGCATTGAGCTGTTTTCAGAATTTCGTTAAATATTCGGTAACGAACCCCAAATTTCATACCGGAAGTAGCAAAACCGGACGACAGAAAATGCATGCAAAATATTTTTTTTATTATCATTGACGTCTAGAGAAAAGGGAAGAACCATTAACAAGCAACTTTACTTTGAATTTCACAGGTCACATGACCGCTACCACCATTGGGACATAGTACATGCAATTCTTCCCCTGTACCCGACTACAAATAGAAAGCAAGAAAGAAGTGTTAGTTTTTCAGTCAGATGAGGGACTATATATAAATGAAGCGAATAGAGCTTTAGAAACTACATAAATAAATTTATTTAAATTTTAAGTATACATGAAATGAATAACGGAAGAGATGAGAAAAATATAATAGAGAACAGACGTAAAAATCATGTAGTGAGTATAGTTCGTTATATAGTCTAATAAATCTTGATAAGAAAGAATTGTCGGTTGAGTTCTTGTACTTCACGAGAATATTGAGACTAATGAAGAATGGCAATAGGAAAAACCAACAGGAGAAATAAACAAAAATAAGGAAGACCTGAGAAAAGATGGATAGAAATAATAGACAAAATTGAAAATCATTATTCGATACTAGAAGACTAACGAAAAAAATGAAGAGCATCAAAAAGTAATCGAATAAGAAGATTACATTAATTGAAATTTATTAAAAAATAGTTATAAAATCTAATCAAAGCACTCATGAAAAATTACCATAAAAAGATAATTCTCAAGAAATATAGATTCAAGATCCTAAAAGTATTAAAAGTATTATTTTTTTGTTGAGAACATAAATGAAAACATCGTCACACAAAAATTTAAACCTTATTCCAAATAATAATCAGTGAAATTTTTTTGTGTATAAATAAACAGTGTCAAAAAATTTACAAAAATCACGCATATCTATTTGTTTCAATAAAAAGCAGAATTTATTTAATATTGAAAGTTCAATTGTTTCAGAGTGTTTACAATTAAAATTTTCCAATATTTCTGTTTAAGAGTAAAAAAAAAAAAATTGAGTTAGAAGGCCATGATTTGAAAAATAATGTTCTTATAGCCTCGAATAACTCAAAACAAAGGCTACTTTATGTTATGTTATGTTGAAAATGGAGTGTTAATACACTGCGAACTAAAAGATCTATTGTGCCCCCTTCTGTCGCCAATGAACTAAGGAAATGTCTCAATGCCTATAACGACCCTTCCAGTCCTATTTTCTCAAGGAAGTGTAAGATTTGAAGTGGCTTCAAGTTAGGTAAATCTCCCTCTTCTATTTGATATCCTTCTAGATATAGTGCCCTTAGATTCTGGAGTGCTACACATTCAGTTAGGATGTGAATGGAGGATTTGTCCTCCTCCTCGCAGAATCTGCACTCACTATCCTCTACTACTCTCAGTTTACTTAGGTGTCCTTTTAGTCGGCAATGCCCGGTAAGGATTCCTGTTCAAATTCGTAGCCTGTTCTTGCTCAAGCAGATGCAAGCTTCCGATCTTTTCTGGTTATATTCACCCAAAAGTATCTTGGCCTGTCTCAGCCCCAAGAGATGGTTCCAATTATCGGTTCTTCTACTGCCCAATTCTTTTTTAATCTCTCCTAATATTAAATTACTGCTGATAACGCAGAACGGCTCAGGTCCTACAAAGGGTGTTTGAGCCCCTTTCCTTGCAAGACTATCTGCAATCTAGTTACCCTGTACCTCGTTATGTCCCGGGACCCAAGTGAAAGTAACTCTATTTTTCTCGCCTAGCTCATTCAATTGTTCTAGGCATCTCCAGACTATTTTTGAGCTGATAACGTAAGAGCTCAGCGCTTTGATGGCTGCTTGACTATCGGACATGATGATAATCTCTTGTTTATGATAGTTTCTCTCGATGTTAAACTGTATACACTTCTCGATGGTGTGAATTTCCGCCTGGAAGACGCTTGGGTATTTTCCCAAGCTTTCAGAGTGCTTGGTTCTCGGCCCATACACTCCTATCCCAGTTCCTTCTATGGTTTTGGAACCGTGCGTATACCACTGAATATCACGTCTTTCGGTTGCAAGCGCGATGGATTCTTGGCTTCATTCTTTCTTGCAGCCTAGCTCTGTGGTTTTGAAGTTTTTCACAAAACTGTACTTCTTTAGCATTTCATCCTGGGGCATGTCCCAGGTATCTTTAGTCCTGAAGCAATTAGACTTTCGTCTGATTACTCCGTTCCTGATCATTCTATATCGTGTCCTTTTTGCCACATTCTCTATCATCAAATGTAGAGGAGTGAGGTTTAAGATCACCTCCATTGCGGCCATAGGACAGGTTCTCATTGCACCAGTAATACAAACACAGGCTACTCTTTGTACTTTTAAGATATTAGCTCTCGTAGTAGCTAAACTAGTTCTGTTACTCCAGGCTATAGCCCCGTAACTGATGATTGGTCTCACTATTGCAGTATACATCCATCGCAGTATGTTTGAGTTACATCCCCATCGTTTACCTGCAATGTTTCTGCATACCATTAAGGCTTTTGTGGCCTTATTTACTACTTCCTTCTCTTGTGTGTTCCAGAGAAGTTTGTTGTCGAGGGTTAGTCCTAGATATTTGACTTTATTTTCCGATCTATATCTATCCCGTCTAATTTAAGGGTTTTGAAATTAAGTTTTCTTTTTCTTGAAAAGGCTACTAGTCCCACTTCGAGGCACCATCTTTTGGTATGTTCTAGTCCTCGTTGGACTATATCACACACGATATTACTAAACTTGTCACTAGCAAATATGACTATGTTGTCGGCATAACCTTGACAGGGTATGCCGAGGTCAGTCAATCTGCATAGAAGTTCGTCTACGATTAGGCTCCACATTAGTGGGGATAGAACTTCTCCTTGTGGACATCCTCTGGTTGTGCAGATGAGATGGTGTCCTGCCCTATCTGTGTCTCTGCAGTTCTCGTAGATAACAGCTGAGCCATCCATCTGGATGTGATGTTATCTACTCCTCTGTATGCAAGTGCTCTTTTTACAGATTCGTGCGGCACAAACGACCGTTTCTTTGTTTGTTAGTGCATCCTGGATTACGTCAGTCAACTGTACCAGGGCAGTTTCTGTAGATCTTCCTGCTCGGAACGCGTGTTGGCTGTGGTGGAGTGGCACCCTTTCCAGGACTTCCGTTCTGATATAATTATCAACATCCTTCTTAATTGTTTTTAATACAAAGGATGTAAGGCTGATTGGTCGGAAGGATTTAGGATGTGTGGTATCCTTTTTCCCTACTTTTGGAATAAAGGTGACTCTGACCCGTCTCCATGCTTCTGGTATATATCCCAGCTCCAGACTGCTCCGGGATAGCCGGATTATGTGGCTACTTTACCAAAAATAAATCCTTCAGATAATTTTTTTTAAGAGGACCATTTCGCGGTTAGATGGCGAATTTTATTCCCAATATATCAATATGCACCACTTAGAAGATAATTTTCCAGTTCATAGCCTTCTACATAAAAGAAACATTTTTTAATCCAAAATTTGTTTGGTAAAAATAAAAATTTATTTGAACCGTAGATTACAAAAAAAAATACGAAGTGATCCATTTAAAAATTCAAATTTAATAGAATTTCTGGTAAAACCAAAAGTCGGCCATTTTGTTTATGTATAAGTCTATACAAAACCTTCTAACTTCAATGCAATTAGGCTTTTTTAATAAAAGACTTGCGCAATTGAGTTCTAATTATTAATGACTTTAAATAAAATTTTATAGTAATCTGGTGTCAAATCCTACCTACTTTCAGACATGTTTTTTAACCTAGCCAGTAAGTAGAGACAAACAAATCTTTTGAGTTTTACTTTAATTCTAACATTAAACTTCGCAGTAAGATAAACTACCATCATTCGAAACTTTGTCATTTTGCAATTCGATAAAGGGTCGTCAAAAAAAAAAAAATTCTGGACGATCAAAAATATAACAAAGTTGCAAATTTGATATCACTTACCTTTCAATAAACATATAAGACTTAAAGCTGAATTTGCAGCCACTCATGACTTTGGCAAAGTAATTAGTTGTTGTTAATTAACATATTAACATTATTTGATCTCATTTAGCAACCAAAATATTAACATGCCTGCAAAATCACAGTATACTCGCTAATATCGCATAAATGAAGGTAAAAATTTGTAATTCTTTCCGATGATGGCAAGATGCATTTCTTATAATTTACAAGGATTTTATTTTTTTATTTATTTAAAATTTATTTTGCAAAATTGTAGCATGTAGCATGATTAGCTAGTGACTGTATTCATAAGTTAGGCATGCTATTTATTTTGCAACAGCCCCAAACGTCGGCAAACAGACGAAACCAACATTAATAAATATTTTGGAAATTTATATTATTGCTAATTTCGTCTGTTTTCCGACGTCATGGGCTATTGCAAAATAAATTGCGTCCTAACTTACGAATGCCATCACTTCCAATTAATATTTGCACATGTTACGATTTTGCTGAATCATTTTTTGATCAATAAAAAAATAAAATTCTTGTAAATTATAAAAATGCATTATGCCATCATCGAAAAGAATGGCAAATTTTCACAGGCATTTAAGGCGATATTAGCGAGTATACACTGTTCATATTTTGGTTACTAAATGAGATCAAATAATATTAAATAACAGCAATTAATTATTTTGCCGGAGTCGTAAATTACTGCAAATTCAGCTTTAGATCTTAAAATGAAAATGATATCAAATTTGTAGCTATGTTACCGTCCAACAATCCATTAATTTAATATTTTGTAATTTTTGACAATGTTGCTGACCCTTTAACGAGTTGCAAAATAGACTAATTTCGATTAATTTGGTACTTTATCTTACAACGAAGTATAAATTTTTTTTTTCTGTTTACTGGCCAATCAACTGTTAAACTTAGGACAGTAGGACTGTATTTAGAACTGTATTTAGTAACTGTATTTAGTAACTGTATTTAGTAACTGTATTTAGTAACTGTATTTAGTAACTGTATTTAGTAACTGTATTTAGTAACTGTATTTAGTAACTGTATTTAGTAACTGTATTTAGTAACTGTATTTAGTAACTGTATTTAGTAACTGTATTTAGTAACTGTATTTAGTAACTGTATTTAGTAACTGTATTTAGTAACTGTATTTAGTAACTGTATTTAGTAAACTGTATTTAGTAACTGTATTTAGTAACTGTATTTAGTAACTGTATTTAGTAACTATATTTAGTAACTGTATTTAGTAACTGTATTTAATAACTGTATTTAGTAACTGTATTTAGTAACTGTATTTAGTAACTGTATTTAGTAACTGTATTTAGTAACTGTATTTAGTAATTGTATTTAGTAACTGTATTTAGTAACTGTATTTAGTAACTGTATTTAGTAACTGTATTTAGTAACTGTATTTAGTAACTGTATTTAGTAACTGTATTTAGTAACTGTATTTAGTAACTGTATTTAGTAACTTATGGATATTGTGTAGATATTTTCTTACCTAGGGGGTGGAAGACCTAAATCAAAGCTGTCGAACGAGGTTTTCTCATACGGCTTGCAATTATCTATCATCGGAACATGAATGACATCAGTCAGCATACTGTCCTGACTTTTGTCTTCATCCTCTTTCCGCGGCCTTTCGATGAAGAGAAGTTTCGGCAGTAGTTCAATGAAGAAAACCTTCACCCAAGGTGCCAGCCTGTGCGTGACGGGCGATCGAAAATTCACGTTCAAGACCGCTATCGTGACGACGACGGACAGCGTGCACAACAACATGGTGAAAAGCAAATATTTACCTAAAACAATAAAGTAAATAAAACTATAAAATGTACAATTATTTCACTCAATGAATGTTCAATAGGGGATTGTAGAAGTACGACATGAGAGAGGAGATATATTTTCTTTGGGGATGAGCTCGAAGTAGTTAGGTAGTCAAAATAATAAACATGTCTGAATTTAGCTAAAAGATTATGGGAGGAGAGGAGAGAAGGTTCCTTTTTTTAGGTTTCCTTTTATATCTGGAAAGTGGAAAGTATAGGAAAATTAACCATTTTAACATAAAAACGCCAATTTTTTCATTTTATCTCTGGTTGCTCATTAATCGAGTAGGTAATATAGTTTAATTTTCAATTATTATAATTGCTAATAAGTCCAATAATCCCATTGGATGTATACTATCTGTTCTAATTTGTCTCTTACAAGAACAAATCTATTTGTCGTTTAAGTTGTTAGTCCAGAAATTGGATCTATTACCAAGAAATGTACTAACCTTAGCTGTAAACCATGGTGGAAGAATACAGGTGAAGCGGTAAGCGGTACGAAATTTGGTCATTCTTGCGCATGACGTCATCTGCGGAGCATATTTTTGTTTTGCCTATATCTCCAATGTTAAAAAGCGACTTTTAAAGTTATTCTAATATTTTTCTGGTAGTATTTAGAAGTTTATAGATATATTTATCTTAAAATTGAATATCATTTCTATATATCAATAGGTCTATTTAGAAATTATTGGTACGTATTATTCAATTAATTTCTAATTAAGTTGGTAGTGTAATTGATATAAAGTTAGGTTGTGTAGCATTTTTGTTGTATTTTATAGATAAAAAAATAGTTTCTATTCATTATTGTTATTTTAATATATCATTATTATTATTATTATATTATTGGTACATTAAAATTTACTATATTTTAGGGTGTGTAGTTACTAACAAAATGCCAGGTTGTGCAGTGTTTGGCTGCAAAAACTATTCAAGAAAAACAAAGGGAACAAATATTAAGTATTTTAGATTTCCGAAAACAGATGTAGCCAAAGCCTGGGTCAACGCTTGCGGAAGAAAAGATACAATTAATTTGAAAAATGGTATGATTTTTGCAAACCTAATTTGAATACGATTCATTTTATGTCTTGTTTCTTTTTTAAGCTTGTATTTGTTCCATACATTTTTCGAAGGATAGTTTCGAAATACCCTTACAGCAGAGGCTATTAAACTACTCCCCTAAGACTGGCAGAAACTTAAAACAAACAGCAGTTCCTACTGAAAATCTCCCAGTGAAAAAAAGACAATTGTCTGCAGAAAGTGACGATAGATTAAGAAGGCGGGCAAAAAGATATCGACAAACACTTATTGAGAGTTTTGTTAATATTTCGGGGCCTTCCAGACAATTGTCAACTGCAGACCAGGACAAGGAGAATCAAAGTTTCGAAACAGATACTCAAAATATATTGGTATCATCAGAACCAGAAACGTATGTACAAATTTACCTTATTAACAAAAAATATGGCTTTGAAAATAAAATTACACAACTTAGCATGTACTAATTAACATTACAAGCATTTAAAAACAATTTTTTAATTAAATATTAAACTTTAAAGTGATAATTGCTTTTATTTCAATATTAACTCTATGTTATTATTTCAGATGTGACCACCGAAATGAAATTATTATTTTAGAGAATACTATTAAGAGTCTTCGTGAAGAACTCAAGGAAATGACTGAAAAATACAACAAATCAAATATGGAAATACTTTCATTGAAAGAAGAAATTAGCCAGTTGAAAAATAATTCTCAAGTAAAAATTCAGGAAAGTATTACAAAAATTTTAAGTAAATGTTTCACTCCAGGTCAAATAAATGTTTTATGCAATGAAAATAAAAAACGAATTCGTTGGAGTTCAGATGACATAGCTTCCGCCATCTCCCTAAGAAGCATTAGTCCCAAGGCTTATAGATTTTTAAGAACTGTTCATTACCCTTTACCTGGGTTTACTACCTTAAGAGACTGGGCTAAATGTTTAAATTTAGAACAAGGGGTTTTACAGAACGTAATTCAGTTAATGAAAAATAAATCATTAGATCTATCAGAAATTAATAAATTAGCTGTTCTTACATTTGACGAAATATATATTTCAAATAAAATATGTATTGACAGAAAAGCACAGCAAATACTTGGTTCACATAAAGCTTGTCAAACAGTAATGTGCAGAGGTTTAATTGGTCAATGGAAACAACCAGTTTTTTACCAATTTGACCAAAATATGAACAAAAATATTTTATTTGAAATAATACACCAACTGTATTCTGCTGGCTTTACTGTAGTAGCAATAACGAGCGACATGGGCTCAGGTCACATGAGTTTGTGGTCAGAGCTAAATATTGGCTATCAAAAAGATTGCTATTTTAAACACCCAAGTAACGATTTATTACAGATATTTGTATTTGCAGATATACCTCATTTATTGAAACTTTTAAGAAATCACTTTTTAGACCAAGGTTTTATATATAAAAATAAAATAATTAATAAAGAATGTGTGGACACACTGCTGTCTGGATCTGCTTCTGAATTAACAATAGCATTTAAAATTAATTCATACCATTTAAATTTGAAAGGCACTGAACGTCAAAAAGTACAGCCAGCAGCTCAGTTATTTTCCAATCAAGTTGCAAAGTCTATAGAGTGGTGTGGTAAGAAAGGATTTATGGAAAATAAAAATTGGAAAGAAACTGCTGAACTAATCAAACTTACAAATGATTGGTTTGATCTGTTTAATTCTAGAAGTACATTTGGGGATCACTTTGGGACAAATGCTTTTGGTGTAAATTTAGATAGTCAAATTGAATTATTACAAAATTTCAGTGATATGATCGAATCTATTAGAGTGGGTACACACAAGGGGTTGATTCAATTTCAAAAGGGGATTTTATTAAGTAATATTTCCTTATTAAATCTTTTTTACTACCTTAAAGATAAATATTCAGTTGAATATATATTAACATACCGACTTAATCAAGACATTTTAGAGAATTTTTTTTCCTATATACGAGGGATGGGAGGACGAGATGATCATCCAACTCCACTCGAATTTAAACATAGGTTGAGATGGTATATTTTAGGAAAGCATTCAGCCTCTGTTTTTAGTATAAATAGAAACTCAAAGGAAAATGTGCATGAACAATGTCTGGTAACACCTATGGAAACAGAAAACTTGAAAATTTCTGATAGTGACATTTGCTTATCTCATTCTGCTTTTAAACATTTTGCCAAAGATATTTCTGAACAGATTGAAGATGAACCAAATGATATTGCACCATATACATTTATAGAACATGATGATCTAATAAACATTGAACTTGATACAACTTATTTTGAAATATCAGATGAACATCTGAATTTATTGGACCAATTTGAACAATTTAATCAAGATAATTTTGTAGAAACTCTCACTTTTGAAGGCTTGAAATACATTGCCGGTTACGTTGCCTATCGATTTAAACATAAATATGATCACTTAGGAATACCAACTAAAGAATTACCAACTCATGAATTGCCTGATTGGATTCAATTTATTTCAAGAGGACAACTTTTAGTCCCCAGTGAAACTTTAATATCAGCTGCCAAAATTATGGAAATAGAATTTCAAAACCTTCATGGCAATTGGCTTTCTAATGCAAAGCTTCTTTTTGACCTTTTAACTGACAGAACAATTGCCAATTTACCAGAAAATGCACATATTCCTTACGAAGTTTTACACTGTTTAGCTCGTACACGAACATACATAAGAATGAGGGATTTAAATAAAAAAATCAGCTTTAATAATTGCCAACGAAAACTTAAGAGAAAAATGTCAAAATTTGTTAATAGAAAAATTTAAGTTGCCTATGAAAGTATTTCAATATTTATTTTGTAAAAGACAAAATCATACTCAAAATATGTGCTGCATACATTTAATACTAAAAAATTATTCATTGGCAACCGGTCTCATCCAAAGGATCATTGTTAAGCCTAGAATGAAAACTTAAAGTAACTGTTATTTTTTAAAGTATTGAATAAATCAATAAAAACTTTTAATACAAAGTTCTCAAAATATAAAGGGGTTTTAAATATTATTTTTGCAGTTTAGAATACTATAATTGCATATAATTTTTTATGTGAAAAGTAATTTTAAAATTTTTATATTTTTTAGAAAAAGTACCATATACTGTGTTTTGTCCAAATTTTAATATTGGAAAATAACACTTGCTAGAATTTCAAAAATAATAGGGTAGAGACTGTGTTTGGGAAAAAATATCTGTTACTATAAGAGATAATGTTATTCTGGAAAGCCCAGAAGACAATAAACACAGGATATACTTGGGATAAAAAATGTATTTTTGATAATAATGTTAGATACTGTGTTTTGAAATGTGGCAGCCATGTTAATGTGTAATTTTTATAGTGTCTACTTTACCTTTAACGGTACCGTGACTTTGTACCCACTATTTTGATTGTCCCTTAATGAAGGTTTTTAATATATTATTTAGCTTTAAGTTTTTATTCTAGGCCTGATGATGATCCTTGGGACGAAACAGGTTACTAATTTATAATTTTTAGGATTAAACTTATGTGGGACAGATATTGAGTATTATTTTGACTTTTATGAAGATGAACAAATTTGAGCAGTTGAATACCCTCCACGATTTATTTAATTTTTTTAGTTTTTTAGGTCCTGCTGTTCTACTCAAAACAACTCTCAATGTAATTCAAGAGAGGTCCGGCCCTCTAAGTCTCTTTACACTATCAGACGCTGACTAATCCATTCGTTTTAATAAAAAAAAACAAAAAAAAAAAACAAAAAAAAAAAACAAAAAAAAAAAAAACAAAAAAAAAAACAAAAAAAAACGGGGCTTGTCCCACCAAAAATATCAACAGTAGTATTAGTTGTTTATTGATTGCATCAGCAAAAATTAGTAGTTCCTATGTTTCAGGTACCTTGTGAAATCTACGGGCTATATCCCTGATTACACTTATTTAATTGAGGGCCCCCGCGGAAGAGCGGTGATGCAGGCAAGTAGTTGCCGCATCGTGGGGGGAGGATGGATGTTCGGCGTGTAGTTCCTTCTTTCTCAAGAAGAGACTGCACCTCGCGGGTAGAGGGAGGCTCATCAAGGTCTTTATTGGACTAGATGTGTACCCGCAGGAGTGTAACGGAAAAATCCGGTACTCCTAGAACTCCACGGGCCAAAGAAATATACATTATAAAGTGTTAATCAAGATAAAGAAGTAAACATTATGTATCAACCATTTATAAACATTATTAAACATAAATAAATCAATTTAAAATAACACCTCTGTTCGTTTTATTAAAATAAAGCATGTTTTGTCAAGTGTTTCTGTTTATTAAATACATAAAGGGGTTTACCAGCACCCAACCATACAAGTTATTGATGGCCATAATTGATGACTAATTTAAAATTAAATTTTTACATTTATAATCTATGAAAGTAACTGCATACTTTCATACTGATTATTTAAGAAAATCAGCGACTAAAAGAATATACTGTTAATAATTCATTTCACCTTAATTTTATTGTTCAGCATTTGTTAACATTATACACAAGTTTATTTGAGTCGATTCAAAATTCTTTATTGTTGAATTACATTCTTATTAACAAAGGTAGATAACAAGTTAAAATTCAAAGGAAAAGAAATAAATAAAAGTTTGTTTTAAATTTTTTAAAAATTCTAATATCGAGACAAAATATAATATAAAAACAAAAATACATATGCACAACACTAAGTACAAATATGACAATCGGGAAATATATATACGAGTATACAAATAAATTAAAATTAACTACTTAATTCAAGGGATCACAGAAAAATTCATACACTTTGTAGTATGCCTTTTCGAGCAAGAGTTTCTTAACTTGCTTTTTAAACATTTTTAATGAGTCGGCACTTCTTATTATTAATTAATTGGCAGATGGTTTAACATTTTTCGCTATACACAATACAAGGTACACCACATATTTCAGTTTCACATTAGTTATTTGTATACCTATGCCTTTTATTAGTTCTAGTTTTTATCCCTACTGAGCCACTAAAACTTTTTAATGGTGATGTCTATGTAAGTAGGTACGTTTTGGCTATCATCTTGATCTCAATCTATCAGATAGCGATGCTAGGCATGAAGATTTAAATCCTAGATGAAACATCCTCTTCAAGTTTTGTGATGGAAAAATTCAGTTTCAGATGAACACTATCTTTTTTATGCCAAAGAGAAACTATATTAAGCTAAATTCCTTACACCATGGCTAAATTCGAAATAAATTACCTACTTTTTTTGTATAAAAACAAAATATTTTTTATTTGGCATTACTTTTGCACAAGCGTCTATCTGCCTATAGTGACTTTCTTGTATTATTGAGCATAAATGATGTTATTTGACCAGCTGTTATTTTCTTCTAAATATATTTTCAGTTTTATAATGATTATAGAACTAGGAAATAAAAATACAACGTTTTGATAATCATTACAAAATGTAAACAAATCCATAGAATGGCATGGCAGAGTATAGGCGGCCGTGGAAATACCGATGTTGACGTCATAAAACCTGCGCACCGCTTCACCTGTATCCTTACACCATGGCTGTAAACTAATGATTAATTTTAATTACCAGGAATGAAAATTGTTCATTTTTAGAATGTCTATTTTTGTAGTTGCTATAAATATATTTATTTGTTTAATCCCCAGTTCTCTATTCGACTGCTTATCCCACTTACCCAATTTAACCGCCAGAGTATATGTCTCCTTAAGTGACAGAAAGGGCCTTAATAATAGAATTACAGAAAGTATAGTTCAAAGGTGAATACGCACGAAATATTTCACCCCAATATAGAACAGAATACTCCAGGCACTTGCAAAACCCTGATGTCCCTATCCCAAAGAACAGTCAGAGTCTTTAAACATTCGCCAAAACCTACTCATATATGCCACTAAGAAGAACTTGTTTTCTTTTATTTTTTTTGCCTTGGATGAATGGAAGGTGGTAAAGGAAAAACAAAAAATCAGTCCGTTTTAAGCAATGAACCAGAGCGTAAGCTTGTCTTAGTAGCCAGAAGCCAGAAGCCAGACCCTTACCCTCAAACTTGCAAGAAAATTAAAATTTCCAAAATAGTTTTTGAATATTAAGATTAGAGAATGCAATTTTTATATTTTTTATCAAACGAGTAGGTATATTCTTAAAATGCGTTTTTTTTTTTGTTATTATCATATCTTAAGTAACATTTGTTAAAACGTAATTTTTTCCAACAAGCTATTGTTTTGGGGGTTTACAGGAAAAAATAAAAACCGGACTTCCCCCCTCTCATCTTAACCTTGTCGCTAGTCTTCTGATTACTCCAAACAAAAACCCTGAAAGAAAAATATTCTCCCCTCTTCCATGTTCTTAATGTGGACTACACATTGAATATCTAATTTCCAATAAAAATTACAGTTTGGAATTAAAAAATAACATATTGTTGCATATTGTACTCACCTAACAGAGGCACTGTTATGGAAGTCGGAGGAATAATCTCCACCAATAGTAAAAAGAACACGGTGAGGGACAACAAAATGGAGATGGACAACGAAACTTTTTCTCCTGAATCAGAGGGTAAGTAGAACACCAAGATGGAGAGGAACGAAATACCGACGCAAGGGATGATTAAATTCACAGTGTAGAAAAGGGTCTTCCGCCTAAGGGTTATGTAAAACATTATATCTGGATAAGGTTCTTCACAACAACTGTAGTACTTTTCGTTTCGTACCGCGGGTACCTGAAATTAAAAAGAATAACAAACTAAAGATACGTCCACGCCAGAGATGACATGAGATATATTCATAACTATATATTCATTGATAAAATATAATATTCGTGACTGTTGTAGATCAGGAGTGAAGAGACAAGTGATGAGAGGTAAGGAAAGGAAAAAGAGAAGGATTTGACTGTGGTATAACACAGTTTTATCAATGAATATATGAGTAAGCCGTTGTACGCCTACAATAAAGAACGTACAAAATACAAGCCCTCTTGACAAATCTAGTACAAAATACTTGATATCCAACTAAACATTAACTACGTTTTAGAAATTATTGAAAATTATTACATCTAACTTAGGGAAATTACATCTAATATAGTTAAATTTGATATAACTAATCATTTTTTGGGTTCAGTTGCAATAAAATAGGTTGAATTATTTTAGCTTTTTTAAAATATGTCTTAGAATGTGTCAGAATGTTTATTAATATTTAATAATGTTTTAAAATGTTTCCGAGCGTTTCTTATTTTTGCAGAATGTTTCAGATTGTTCTAGAATGTTTCAAAACGTTTAAGAATGTTTAAGAATGTTTAAGAATGTTTAAGAATGTTTAAGAATGTTTAAGAATGTTTAAGAATGTTTAAGAATGTTTAAGAATGTTTAAGAATGTTTAAGAATGTTTAAGAATGTTTAAGAATGTTTAAGAATGTTTAAGAATGTTTAAGAATGTTTAAGAATGTTTAAGAATGTTTAAGAATGTTTAAGAATGTTTAAGAATGTTTAAGAATGTTTAAGAATGTTTAAGAATGTTTAAGAATGTTTAAGAATGTTTAAGAATGTTTAAGAATGTTTAAGAATGTTTCAGAATGTTTCAGAATGTTTCAGAATGTTTCAGAATGTTTCAAAATGTTTCAGAATGTTTCAGAATGTTTCAGAAGGTTTCAGAATGTTTCATAATGTTTCAGAATGTTTCAGAATGTTTCAGAATGTTTCAGAATGTTTCAGAATGTTTCAGAATGTTTCAGAATGTTTCAGAATGTTTCAGAATGTTTCAGAATGTTTCAGAATGTTTCAGAATGTTTCAGAATGTTTCAGAATGTTTCAGAATGTTTCAGAATGTTTCAGAATGTTTCAGAATGTTTCAGAATGTTTCAGAATGTTTCAGAATGTTTCAGAATGTTTCAGAATGTTTCAGAATGTTTCAGAATGTTTCAGAATGTTTCAGAATGTTTCAGAATGTTTCAGAATGTTTCAGAATGTTTCAGAATGTTTCAGAATGTTTCAGAATGTTTCAGAATGTTTCAGAATGTTTCAGAATGTTTCATAATGTTTCATAATGCTTCAGAATGTTTCAGAATGTTTCAGAATGTTTCAGAATGTTTCAGAATGTTTCAGAATGTTTCAGAATGTTTCAGAATGTTTCAGAATGTTTCAGAATGTTTCAGAATATTTCAGAATATTTCAGAATATTTCAGAATATTTCAGAATATTTCAGAATATTTCAGAATATTTCAGAATATTTCAGAATATTTCAGAATATTTCAGAATATTTCAGAATATTTCAGAATATTTCAGAATATTTCAGAATATTTCAGAATATTTCAGAATATTTCAGAATATTTCAGAATATTTCAGAATATTTCAGAATATTTCAGAATATTTCAGAATATTTCAGAATATTTCAGAATATTTCAGAATATTTCAGAATATTTCAGAATATTTCAGAATATTTCAGAATATTTCAGAATATTTCAGAATATTTCAGAATATTTCAGAATATTTCAGAATATTTCAGAATATTTCAGAATATTTCAGAATATTTCAGAATATTTCAGAATATTTCAGAATATTTCAGAATATTTCAGAATATTTCAGAATATTTCAGAATATTTCAGAATATTTCAGAATATTTCAGAATATTTCAGAATATTTCAGAATATTTCAGAATATTTCAGAATATTTCAGAATATTTCAGAATATTTCAGAATATTTCAGAATATTTCAGAATATTTCAGAATATTTCAGAATATTTCAGAATATTTCAGAATATTTCAGAATATTTCAGAATATTTCAGAATATTTCAGAATATTTCAGAATATTTCAGAATATTTCAGAATATTTCAGAATATTTCAGAATATTTCAGAATATTTCAGAATATTTCAGAATATTTCAGAATATTTCAGAATATTTCAGAATATTTCAGAATATTTCAGAATATTTCAGAATATTTCAGAATATTTCAGAATATTTCAGAATATTTCAGAATATTTCAGAATATTTCAGAATATTTCAGAATATTTCAGAATATTTCAGAATATTTCAGAATATTTCAGAATATTTCAGAATATTTCAGAATATTTCAGAATATTTCAGAATATTTCAGAATATTTCAGAATATTTCAGAATATTTCAGAATATTTCAGAATATTTCAGAATATTTCAGAATATTTCAGAATATTTCAGAATATTTCAGAATATTTCAGAATATTTCAGAATATTTCAGAATATTTCAGAATATTTCAGAATATTTCAGAATATTTCAGAATATTTCAGAATATTTCAGAATATTTCAGAATATTTCAGAATATTTCAGAATATTTCAGAATATTTCAGAATATTTCAGAATATTTCAGAATATTTCAGAATATTTCAGAATATTTCAGAATATTTCAGAATATTTCAGAATATTTCAGAATATTTCAGAATATTTCAGAATATTTCAGAATATTTCAGAATATTTCAGAATATTTCAGAATATTTCAGAATATTTCAGAATATTTCAGAATATTTCAGAATATTTCAGAATATTTCAGAATATTTCAGAATATTTCAGAATATTTCAGAATATTTCAGAATATTTCAGAATATTTCAGAATATTTCAGAATATTTCAGAATATTTCAGAATATTTCAGAATATTTCAGAATATTTCAGAATATTTCAGAATATTTCAGAATATTTCAGAATATTTCAGAATATTTCAGAATATTTCAGAATATTTCAGAATATTTCAGAATATTTCAGAATATTTCAGAATATTTCAGAATATTTCAGAATATTTCAGAATATTTCAGAATATTTCAGAATATTTCAGAATATTTCAGAATATTTCAGAATATTTCAGAATATTTCAGAATGTTTCAGATTATTTCAGAATGTTTAAGAATGTTTTAGAATGTTGCATAATGTTTCATAATATTTTAGAATGTTTCTAAAAGTTTATTGATATTTTTTTTCGTTTAAGTTGCGGAAAAAAAATTGATAAAAGTTGTTTTCTTCCATTAGAAGAATTTTAGAAACATTGCTAAATATTTTTGTTTCTTAGACGTAGTGTGAGCACGTTGTTATTTGTTTCAGATATTTTTGTGTCTTGTGAGATAACTAGCGATGAGTGAAGTCTAATTTCTTGTTTAAAATTTATGAATGAAAAGTTTCTTCTAACTGTTCGAGCTTGCACTAAGTTATCCTATTGTGTTAAATCGTTTTGTCGAACAATAATTTATAAAATATTAACCCAATTTCACATATAAATGAAAATGTATACCTTCATAATATCCCATTCGACTGATATGTAATAATCCTGGAGGTCAATTCCGACGTCGATTTTGTTGGAGTCCTGGACTTGCTGAAGATGCCGGAGGTCAACCTGGAATTAAGGGATTTGTTACAATCGATTTTTCTTGTGTTTGTGCCAAACGGGGATACCTGAAGTCATATGGGACTATTTTACTGCACACGGGAGGATTATCGTCACGGCTAGTGCAATTTGTCGCCCGTTTATATTCCAATGGAACAATTTTTACGTTTTTACGGGTAATGGGGGAGATAATAAAAAAGTGCAAAGAGTAAAATGTTGCTGCTAACCTAGTTTTCCAAAAATATACTTATAACTATTTAGTAGGAGGAATCCTCATATGAAACTCATTTGAAACTGTTGAAGATAAAATTGTAGAAATATGAACTATAACCACCGAGGTTACTACCTTACTACTTGCATATAAATATCTGAAAAGAAACAGTTTTTCAGACATATTATTTCTTCTGACTGCAACTAAATAAAAAATATACTATGTTACTAATGTACTAATCTTGTAATATTAAAGAATTATTTTAAGTTACCTTTTGAACTGTCAGTATGCCATTCAGCCTTCCAAGAGAGGAGGGTATATGGACTGCGAGTCACTAGTATGCAAAACAGTCTAAGAATGTGTTTGTGAAAAATTCTGCTCAATAGGCAGTAATCAGTAGGATAACCATCAAACACACTGGCAACAGATGAAAGGGCACACAATCTTCATGCTAAAGAGACCAAACCCAGACATTGCTGCTAAGGTACTACACATTGCTATGCTTCTGATACTACTATTCAAACATAGTACCTAAATACGAATAAAGCAGGGTAATACAATGTTCTGCTATTTCTAATCCTACCTCCTTACGAAACCGGCAGATAAAGACTGATCACTGGCATGTAAAGTACCTATTCTTTGGAGCATTTGGATTGCATATAAAGTAGTGACACTTGAGTAATATTGGGATGGCTATCTTGTTTGCGATTAAGGTAAAAAAATTGACGTTCAGAAAAGCGGCGAGACAAGAATTTTTTAAACTGCTTTATGACTTATCAGTTACCCTGCTAATAACGGTCATTCAGGTGATCTGAATTGCCATATTGGGGAGGCTAAATCTATGAATGACGGAGCATATAGATGATTTGGAATAGAAGATCAGATTGATGTCAGTGAGGAGATCTAAGAATTTGGTTTTGCATTGGACAACCTACAAAACTGGGAAAAATTTGCTTTCAGATAAATTAAGTCATACCAGAAGAGAAGAGAGTTTGATCAATCAAAATAGATTATTGTTGCAAGATAGCTGAAAGTGTAAATTAGAAATACAGTAGCAGAAATTGTGAAGAAAGATTAGGTGGTGAGAATCAAAAGAAGTCAAACTTTAGATGTAAGCTGAGGAAATGTCTATGCTAGTCAGAAAATATATAGTATGAGAGCCCACTGCAAATTTCCACCGTCATCTGATAGCGAAATGAAATATGCTCCAAAGGCATGCAACAACATTGTCTTTACCAAATTGCACCTGTGCCAATCCCTATCCTGAGCAAAATGGTTAAAAAAAATTATTTTATATTCAAAAAATCACATAAAACATGATAGCGACAGTTGTATTTTCCCTGAAAATTACAACCCTAATTCATTGTGAACCTAGCTTTTAAACCTGAATTACTAATATTTTTACCTATCTTTTAAACCATGTTTATATGTGAAAGGAATGAGGGTGGCATTGTATAGACCATTTGCAGAGATAGTCAATAATAATTATATAAACTCTTGTCAGACAATTCTTTTAAATCATAATCATAGTAGTTTTTTTGTCGTTTCTATGGCAACCTGTAAAAATGAATCACCACAATAGGCATACAAATAAATTTTTAAATCAGCAAAAATTGATTCATATTTTTAATGATTTTTACCTACTAATCGTGGATAGATGTTTTTGTGCGATGTTAAGAGGCAAAAAATGTTTCCCTTTAACAATATATATTATATCAAGATATATTTAAAAGGGCAAACAAAATTAGCGCTGTCATGCTTTATGTGATTTTTTAAAAATAAAATAATTTTTTTAATCCACTTTGCTCAGGATTGGAATTGGCACAGGTGCCATTTGGTAAAGTACAATGTTTTTACATGTATATTTCATTTCGTTATCAGATGACGGTAAAAATTTGCAGTGGGCTCTTGGGCTAATAGAACGTATAATAAGAGAAAAGAAAAGGTTGAGCAAATCGTTTACAAATGGATCTACAGGATTGGTATGGTGATTACGTTGAGAAATAAATATAAATCAACTTAAAATGAAGTGCACATACTTATAAACCGTTCTTGTACATACCATTATTGAAACTATGTACAAGAATTCGGCATTTCAAATAAATTTCCTCTCATAAAAATATACAGTATCGTAAATCAATACCAAGCAAGAACATTCATCACTTTCAATGCATTCAAAGTTATTTTTCATAGCGCTGAATCAAGGCATAGACTGGAATAGCAAATTGAATTGTTATAAATTCATACCATGTATCCATCGTAAGTCCAGGATCCGAATTTCATGAAACAAGTTTGTTCATCGAAGGGAAAGTACTCAACATCAATTTCACAAAATGATTTATAGATGGCAGGAGGTTTCCATACTACTGTTCCGGTGTGGTGCAAAATCGCTTTGGTCATTATCGTAACTTCGTAGTTGCCGTCGGCACTGAAACAAAGATAAAAATAGAAAAAAAAACTCTGGTATTATTCAGATGATTTAGGTCACTCTAAAGAGATAAAATATCGCTTTTAAAATGAGTTTAACAAGAATATGAGTTCAGCATTTTAGCATTTAATAAAGTTAACATTTTTATATTTTCAAACTTTTTTAATTCCTTTAGTAATAGTTATCAGAACAATATAATGGAAAATAATGAATTTACTTCAATTCGATTCAATCTTTATTGTTTCTAAACAAAAAAGTTTAATTTATTTCATAAATTATATGTATGTTAAAGTAAACTAAGGCCATATATTAAATGGTTATTAATTTTTAAATAAATTTCCAGGAAATCCTTAAACAAATTCCAATAAAGAAAATTATTTTTGAATACCCAAGGTCAAAAAAAATTTAGTGAAAAACTGAAAAAATTGTGACTACGGGGGGATTCGAACCTACCTAATCCTGTTTTATGTACAGCGCTCTTCCAAATGAGCTATCGCTGACATAGACAATGATTTCCAAATTGTCAAGGTGAATATAAGATTTTTAATCTAACCTCGCGTTTCAGAAAATGTTTCATTTTATATAAAGAAACGTAACTTAAGTATATATTCCAAATATGCACGAAAATCGATTTAATAATAACAGGGTAACATTATTAAGAGTACCTATTTATAAAGTTGTTTGCATCACGAGAAAAAGAGTGTTTGGTGGTTTAATTAAAACAGATTGAGAGATTTATATAGGTTTGATAACATTGGAATCGATAGGGATTGGAAAGACTATCTAATTATGAAGCTGGTTCTGTTCGCCATTTAAAGAATTTACGAAATGTACTCAAATCAAAAGAGGTCAGAGGAAATGGTTATACCGAGATCCACTTAAGAGATTATTGCTTTGACAGTGTTGCCACAAATAGCATATACAAAATGCGGATTATTTTTACTAATATGTAAAATTGTATATTTAAAAGAGCTAAGTGGTCTAAGCCATTCGAATCACCGTAATATGTTGGATAGGTCGTTTTGGATATAATTATGTTGCGACAGTGACTTCCATAAATTTTAGTGTCATCAGCATTAAAACTGTGAGAAAATGTTAGATAATAAGGTAAACGGCAAGTGTAAAAGTTCTTCAAAATCAGTCATGTTATTGAGCCTTGTAGTACACCAGAGAAATTGTTGTAGAAGATAGACAAAGCTGTACCCACTCTATCAGAAAATTTTCTATTGGTCGAAGAAGCTTCAATCCATTTCAATAGGGCTCCACGAATTCCAGAGTTTTCTTATTTGGACAAAAGAAGATTCTTTGGAACACGATCGAATGCTTTCGAGACATCTAGGTAAATATCGCCAACAGTCTCACGTATATCACTAGAAAGAATCCTGTTATTTAGGAGGTCTGGAAGATTTGTAAAGTGGATCTACTTGTTAGAAAACCGTGCTGTGTTTTTGGTTTGGTATGATATTCGACATTAAGAAAACAGTCATATAAAAAAATAATTATTTACATAATATTATAGCAAAGCTTATTATTGGTAGGATTAGTTTTATCGCCCTTAGGGGTAGCCAATATTTACAGCCAGATTTTAGGAATATGGTCGTTTTTATAGGATACTTAAAATATGTTAGAAAGGAATTTAGCTTAAACATTGGCACAACGTATTATCTAGTCCAGGAGACTTATTAATTTGCAGATTATTGAGCTTTGAAAGAACTATCTCTTTAGTATCATCAGGTTTTTTATTCGTGGTTTTGATACATGTGGATATATTTTTTGTCGTGTGTACTTATAGAGAGGTTTTGAACCTTCTGTGATTAGTGAATTTTCATAATCTGCTCTTTAAGTTCGTAGATCTTGTGATAATTGATTGGAGAATTATCTATGGATTTCAAAATCGTTTTCGGAACCATTAGCCTAGGTATTTTCTCTATAAGTGACGTTTTGTTTTGGTACGGTAATAAGATTTGAAGTAATATAGGGTTTATGGGATTATACATTTTGATAAAAAGGTACTTACAAAGGTCTGAAGCTGAATTAATTTTATTTTGGTAAAATTCCGATTTTTGTTTTACATCGTATGATTTGTATACGTCATTCCAATTTAGTGATGATAGTAAAGACTGAAGTTGATTGTAATTGGGTTTTTAATGATTTTGGTATATATTTTTGGTATATATTTTTGGTGTTAGCTGTTGTCAGGATCTGTATATTTCATGTAACACCCTAAAGGCGAATGGTATTTAATATTGGATATCAAGCTTCCGTCGTTTGAAAAACGTAGATAAAGACAGGAAGGATTTTGATTATAACGAAAACATGTAGACTACGTGATAAGTTGAGATAGGTTGTTTTCCAACGACATGTTTAAATATAGTGAAGTGGCACTGTTATCATTAGAATAAGTTATTAACAGGAATAACAAAAGATTATTGCATTGTTAATTTGTATTGGAAAGGACATCTACGATTTTGAAATCAGTATTAATTTGGATATCAGATGGTATATATACAGTACAGCTAGAGTATATGAAAATTGGTGATTAAAAAATTATAGACATACAGATTCAATCTTCAGTATGGTTTTGCTAATTAAATTGATAGTGAAGGCTTTAAAGAAGATTTTTTCTAGAAAGATACAGACTTTTCTTACCATCTTCTGTATCGTGCTTATAGATTTTGTATCCTGGAAAATTAACTGTAGAACTTGGAATATATCTAGTTAGCCATGTTTCGTTTATTGCACATATGTGTGAACGATTGTTTTGTATAAATAGATGAAATTCATTTATCTTAGCAATAATCGATGCAGTATTAATATAAGCTACATGTATTTCTAAAAGTTTGATTAGTTTTTATGGAGTTTTAACAATATTAATAATAATAAATATAGGGGAGGGTGGCTCAGTGATAGAGTCTCTGCCTGTGGATCCAAAAGTCCCAGGTTCGAATCCCACCGTTGGCCGGGATTTTTTTATTTAATTATTTAAAATTAATTCTGATGCCTTGGTAGGATTCCCCACTCGACCATTCATTGTTGGGTTCTAATTAACAGTGCTGTTCCTAAAGTGGCGATGGGAAACAGTAATAAAGCCTACACAGAACACGAGGCGAAATAACCTTAGCAGTTGAAGCCGATGACACACAAAAAAAAATAAATATAGGGGAGGGTGGCTCAGTGGTAGAGTCTCTGCCTGTGGATCCAAGGGTCCCAGGTTCGAATCCCATCGTTGCCCGCGATTTTTTTATTTAATTATTTAAAATTAATTCTGATGCCTTGGTAGGATTCCCCACTCGACCATTCACTGTTGGGTTCTAATTAACAGTGCTGTTCCTAAAGTGGCGCTGGGAAATAGTAATAAAGCCTACACAGAACACGAAGCTAATGGCCTTAGTAGTCGATGCCGATGAGACAAAAATAAATAAATAAAAAATATATCCAAAGAGGTTTTTGTTGCAATTGTGCATATTTCTATTGGGTTCATGTTATAAGAAAAATCTTGAAAACTAAATTTAATTAAATATTCTTTACATACTGAAAGCTGTTAACTCACTCGTATAATATGGATTGGTAGATTGATTTGATAGATAGTTTGGAAGCTACTATTTAATGTTAAATCGAAAAATATGATGATTGACTACATTGGATTAAATATTCTTGAGGCATTTATTATTAAAAGTATTTAAAAGAAATTTAGATTTTTGCGTTGGTGTGCTGTAATTAATACGATTCCACTGGTAATTATCCAACATCTGCTTAAACTGACTCGCCCAATTATATTTAAAGTCAACATCATTATTTTAAGCTACGTCATTTCCCGAAAAAAAGGCGATGAGAAGAAAAAAGTAACTCCGAGGTAAACGAAAGTTTTTACAACCTCAATTAAGTCTTTATTTTGTATAAAATTATACAGGGGGCCATTTGAAAACGAAACAGAGCCAATTTTGGGCACCCTAGCTCATTTATGAAAATAAGCTTGGACTTTTGATTTTAGGGGGAACCTTTTTTTGCCAGTTTCACCCCCTGAACGGAAAGAAGGGTCAAATAATATTTTATTTTGAAGGTATTTTTACCTAGATTTTAACCCCTGAGTGTTAAATTGTTACTGTCTTCCTAGCCATGATCTTTTAACGATTTTTATTTTCTTTAAATGCTTACTAGTCACTCGAGTAAATACTGGAAATGGAAATGATCCTAGGCCTCCATGCAATAACAGAGGTTTTGTTCGCAAATTATTTGCACCCTCTCAGCAATTGAGTAAAACCATTATCACTGATATGCCACTTTTATGCTTACTCTGCAACGAAATAAACTACACCTTACTACTTTACGGCGACCAAAGAATGTCATCTGATAACACAGGAATAAATCTAGAATTGTTACAAAAGATTCCTTTTTTTTAATACTAATGTAAAAATTATGTTAAATAGGTTTTGTACTTTTTGTGAGCCCACTGTATGGGCTACGTAGATAGTAGTTATAATCTAGGTAAAAATAACTTCAAAATAAGATATCATTCGACACTTTTTCCATTTAATATTTTAGCTAGAGGGTTTCCGTTCAGGGGGTGAAACTGGTAAAAAATGTTTCCCCCTAAAATCAAAAATTAACGGGTCCGAGCGGTTTTTTGTAAATTACCTGGGGTGCCCAAAATTGGCTCTGTTTCGTTTTCAAATGGCCACCCTCTATAAATTTAATTGATGAGGTCCGCTTGAGAAAACCATAATTTTTATTTTGTTTAAATTAACTATAACATTGTTTCAGAATTTTAAGTTCACGTTTTGGATCAATTTTATGGTCTGATGTTATGACCAGGTTAGCTGCATATTAATTCATTTTGTTATCTTCTTGTACGGAATTTTCAATACGAAACTATACCTTGCAATGAGTTGAACAAGGTGTAACAGAACTATGCACATACCATTCAAAGACCATAATTAGGTATTTAATATATGTAATGGGACGAGCAGAACTCGAAATCATAAGGATACTTACTGATAGCGGTCTCTCTCTTTGCTACGTGCATGTTCCTACTAAACTTTGTCAAACCTTCCGTGTTGAAAATTATGTACCTTTTTCACCTTTAATGACAAAACACTGATAAATGTCTGCAACACATAGGGAGAACGATGCATTTACTTAAATTGATAAGTACTTAGTTTAGGATTCTTTTAGAACAATAATAATGGTTATTCCATGAGAATAGTTATAATGGCAGGCAAAACTAGGTGTTAATAAAAAAATAATTTTTTTCTCGTATAAAAATGTATTACTGTCTTTCCTAAATTTAATAAAAAATATTAGTTTATCAAATGATTTATGCCGACAATCAATTACTGTTCTCCAACATATGCCTTCTACCTGAAGAGCCCCAAATAGGATGGCAATCAGAAGTAGAATGTTTAGTTCCTTAAATGCCAAATCAAAGAGTTTGGTGTGCCATCTGAGGTGATCGCACATAAGCATTATAACACTTGTAATTCAACGTCCGGAGAGCTTTATAGCACTGGGAGTAATTGTTTTATATTATAATGCAGTCATAATCTGGATAGATTTCAATCATCCTATATTTTTGTATACCTAATACAATCGAAATGCTTATCTACTCACTCAATGACAAAAAAGGATATTTATAGAGTTACAGTGCATCAAACCCTGAACAGAAGGATAATAGGAAATTAAATATCCTAGAAAATGTATACAATGATAACTAAAAAATAATAAAGGAAAAAAACATTGACAGTGTCATTACTACTACCGTAGAGTCATATGCATTTAAATTTCAGAGACTTTCAGAATTTCAAATAACTTTTAATGATCTCAACATTCTTTCCAAATTCAGAATAAATATTGAAACAAGGAAGTTTTAATGATTTGTGTTAGAAAGAGGAAGAGAGTACAGGTTCGAGCGGAACGAGTTCAAGGAGAATAGGACTAAATAGGATTCTTCAAGAAAATTATTTCTTTAATCACTCACATCATTAAACTATACATTTTGAAGTGTAAAAACCTATTTTAATTATAAAAACAACTCGCAATAAGAACAGTGATGTAATGTAAATTATTCAATACGTACTTATTATAGAGGACGATGTCTGGAAGCCAAATGTGTTCAGAAGGAACGTGAAGAGTTTCGACACCACCATAATCATCAGGATTCCATTTGAGCTTGTAGTCGTTCCATTCCTGAAAACGTTCTGAGTTACAATGTTATTTATTACTTTTGGTTCCAGGCTTGTGTTTCGTTACCTGTTCCACCCATACGTTCGTTGTCATTATCTGGTTCTTCAAATTCTGAAACAAATAATCATAATTAATAATAGTCTCTATTTAACAAGTAGAGGTTAGTGGGGCAAGTGAGTCATAGGGGCAAGTGCGTCTTTTGAAATAATTCGTATAATCGGCAACATAGCCGGCAACAATAGGTGCAGTTCACGTACAATAACAAGTGGATGGTGTCTATGAAAATTTACCGGAAAATTTCTAAAACTAAGGTAAATATATATTTTTTGTATTCTACGTGTTGTTATGTTATTATTGAGGTGAATTACACAAGCGTTTTTCTAAATTTAAAGGCACTATCTAGATAATTCAATATAAACATAACATAACCTCATATTCGAGAAATATCGCCTGATTCTTAGAACGTTGCCAAATGTACCTGTTGAGCTTAATTTTGATTTTTAAATTTTGATGTCGCTGTGGGGAAAGTAAGTCATAGCCATGACTTACTTGCCCGACAGTTGGTTTAATATAGGATTTTTTAAAATAAGTTATTGTTTTTTTTGCAGTGGTAGAAAATGGTCCGTACTTACGTGCGCAAGACCCAAAAGGGATCATATTCCGAAGATGCTATGCAGCGTTGCTTAGAAGCTATTCAGAATAAGGAGATGTCAATCAAGAAAACTAGTGTGGTTTTTAACGTTCCGAGAACCAGCATACACTCACGATTGAAGCGACAGGGGCAGAATCCGGTTCTAAACCTAGGCAGGTTCAAACCCGTGTTCAGTGAAAAAATAGAAATGGATTTGAGTGAACATATAATACACTTAGAGAAGCTATTCTATGGACTCTCAACGGCAGATCTTCGACGGATTGCATTTCAGTTTGCTGAAGTTAACCAAATCAATCATCCGTTCAATGAAGATCAGAAGCTGGCAGGAAAAGACTGGCTGATATCATTTTTAAAGCGTCAAAAAAACCTCTCTATTAGAAGACCTGAAGCAACAAGCATTGCGAGAGTGACAGGATTTTCCAAGCACAGAGTCAATGAGTTTTTTAAAAATTTAAAAGAGCTCTTGGACAAGTACAATTTCCTTTCCTATCGCATATTTAACTGTGATGAGACAGGGATTACCTGCGTTCAAGAACCAGGAAAAATAGTAGCGGAAAAAGGAAGAAAGCAAGTGGGAAGATTAACTTCATTGAAAAGAGGAAAAAATACTACATTACTAGCATGTGTTAGTGCTACGGGCACATTCATTCCACCATTTATGGTCTTCCCTCGTGTAAGAATGAACCCAACCTTGTTAAATGGTGTGTTTCCTGGAACAGTAGGATGGATGGATGCCGACCTATTTGTTAAATTTTTAAAACATTTTATAGACTCTACACAAACAACGAAAGAGTCTCAGAGCCTACTGACACTAGACGGTCATTCAAGTCACAAGTCCATTGAATTAATAACCCTGGCTAGAAATTCTGGAGTTTCTGTTTTGACGTTACCACCTCATACTTCGAATAAGCCACCACATTCTTGATGAAAGTATATTTGGGCCCTTCAAAATCTACCTAGCAAGAGAAATGGACCACTGGCTGAAAAATCACCCTGGCTCTAGAATCACCGAATATGACATATGACATTATAAAAAACGCCTTTACACCAATAAATATTATGAAGGGTTTTGAAAAAACAGGAATCTTCCCTTATGACCTGGATGTGTTCCAAGACAGCGACTTTGAGGGGGCCGAAAACATTCTTCAAAAAGAAACAAATCCAGAAAGCGTCAATCCCTTGGTCAATTCCGTAAACTTGGAAGATGTACCTAATCCAGAATCGCCTGAAGATGACATCCAGAATGATCCTAACATACTACCAGTTTTAGAGGCAACAGAACAACCGTCATGCAGTTCTGTTTCTATTTCAAATTCAAGCCTAATCTCGTAACCATCTCAAGGGAAAAGCAACTCCAAAACACTTTTAGAACCAGATCAACCGTCATGCAGTTCTGTTTCTATTTCAAATTCAAGCCTAATCTTGAAACCATCTCAAATGCAAAGCAACTCCAAAACAATTTTACAACCTGATCAACCGTCATGCAGTTATGTCCCTATCTCAGAATTAAGTCCTATACCAAAACCCTGTCTCAAAGCAAAATCCAGAACCACAGAAGGATCCAAAATAATCACCAGCTCACCTTACAAAGATCAACTCGAAGAGAAATTAAAAAGAGTAGAAGCAAAATTAGTCAAAAAGAATTTTAACAAAGCAGGGTCAAGTTCGTGTCTTGAAAATGTGAAAGAAAAAGAAAACTTGAGATGAAAGAAAAAAGGTACATCGGCAAAAGCATCAGCAGCAATGTCAGAGGAAGAGAAAGCCATAATATGCGTTTACTGTCATGAGAAATAAGGAGACACTTGTCACGACGAATGGATTATGTGCATAAAATGTGGTGTCTGGATGCATGAGGAGTGTTCAGATAACGAACCGGGTGCTGTTAACTATGTTTGTGACAACTGCCGATGATAATTAGTATAAATATTCACTTGCCCCAACTGGGTGATTCACTTGCAAGTGAGTCATTTGACAATTTTATTCCTAAGTCTGACCTTTAATTAAAACTTTAAATTTTCTTCATTTTTCAAGGTTAGGTTATGACCTAAAGAATTAAAGTTTATTTTTATTCAATACACGTTGTTTTATTTCTACAAGTATAATAGTAGTTATCGCAACAAGTGCTAGAAGATGCACTTTTACGCACGAAGCTGCGTTACCCGCACGACGCGCAATATTAACAAAATATCTTATACATTATATAATTATTAAATTATTTATGTATATTAATGGTAAAATTGCAGGAAGTTGCATGTTTAATGTTAATAAGTGAGTCTAGGTTTTTGTTAATATTTTGACCAACCAGGTGTTGCGTGGAAGTGTTAACTATAACATTTGAGTTTATCATAGATTCCAAATGTGCGTTAGAAGTTGATAGCGTTGATTTATTTTCATCTATGTTTAAAATCTTTGAGCACATTGCCTTTTTAAATTGAATCGAATCATCCACATAGCTTTCTGCTACTGTGGTGAATTTCCAACCACCTACTCGTTTTATCGCAGGTACATCTTCTCCTGCATTCGCTAGCATTGTTGCAGCAGATCTTCTAAAAGTGTGCCCAGTATAAGGATGGTTCAGCAAGTTTTAAATAAGATGCAATTAAGGATGGCATCTTACCAATAGTATTTATTCCGATTGGTTGAGAGGTACATTTATTATGCTGATAACTTAAAAAAATCGGCGAGTGGATACATGAAGTGGTCGTAGATTTACATATTTTTTGAATATACTTATGTATTTCTCTCCATTTATAACAAATGATCGTGGTCGATAGTTTTCCGACTCTTTAATTTTTATAATTATAAGGTCGCCTTTGTCTTCAATATCATCTATAGTCATTTTTGTTAATTCATCGCGTCTGCATGCTCCAATAACCCAAGCACTGCAACTTTTGCCTTTTTCGGTTTAAATCCTACGTTTTGTCGTCGTATATAAGTTGTCAAATTACTATATTTTCCTATATCCACGTTATGTTTTAAATTTAACATTGCTTTCAACATCGAGTAACGGGCCCAAATTGTGTTCGGTTTGCATTCCGTTTTCATTTTTGCAAAATATGCCAATACGCATTGTTCATTAATTGTTGTAATATTTATTTTATTTTGGCTGCACCAACTACTAAAGTTTTTATATTGCTTCTCATATAGTCCCTTTGATTTTGTAGGCAGTAGTTCAGCTGATGCTGCATTTGCTGCATCCACAATCGATTGCGACAGTTCGATTATTTCAGCTTCTTCACTGGACATACTGTTAAACAAATGTTGTAATACTTTAAACAAATTAACAATTAATTGCAAACAGTAATTACAGGAATAAATTCAATAAGAGTTTTCTTAAAGTTCTGTCAAAACTGTTTAACGATTATCGGTATCATTGCCTACTAGATTCGTGTCGCTGTTATTAACGTTTGACATTCACTTAAATGTGCATTAAATGTAGCGCGTTAGAGCGTCGCGCTTATAACCCGAAGGTCCACGGTTCAAACCCGGGCCTCGGCGGTAAGTATACCTTGCTTTTTTTCAACTTCTCGCACTCGAAAGAGTGCGAGAAGATCATCTTCTCGCACGCTTGTATAAAAAAGTTATTAATTGTTTAACCTTAAGGTGTCTCACTTGCCCCACCCTCCCCTATACAAAACTTATTTCTTAAAATAGTTGAACCTGTTTTTCCTGACAATTTAAATCATAATCATAATTATTATAAACTTTATTAATCTGTTATGACATAATAATGTATAGGTCGTTTTTTTAAAGAAAGATACGGAGATTAAAAACTAATTAAAATACACAATCACTACAAAATTAAAAATAAATCATACACGAATTACATTATAGTCACAACACAATGTGACAGAAAATTAGGTGTTGAGGGGTACATATTATGCAATGATCTTCTAAAAAATCCTTTGTGGAATAGTAATATTTGTGTAATAGTACCTAAATTCTTTTTTTTTTTTTTAATATAGAGATTGAACTTATATTTTTAATACTAATTGGTAAGATGTGTTGAATTTGAAGGTTTTATGTAGGGTAGGTAATTCTAATATCATTCGACCAGTGGCGGATTTCTAAATAGACTAGCTATGTTTCTAAATTTTCGTAGGCGGATAATTTTTAAAATGAGAAATTTTTCCGCAGCCACTAAAAACAGAGTATCAACTTCGTCGAATTACTTATTTTTCACAAGTTGTAATGAATCTACAAATTATTTTACATTTCTGCAACTGCAAGCTACAACTTTTTTCGGCATACACGATTCGTCATGCAGAGATGATGCCTGCAAGGCTGTTTTGAACCTTCAAAAGATATTCATGATACTCTGAAATCAATATAAAATGACCGTTCAGAGAAGGTAATTACGAAAGCAGATGCAACAGGATTTGAAACTGCGTTTATGATTGTTTTTTTTTTGAGTAGTATTCTGAATCGAATCAATGCAGTCATCCCATACGGCAGAAAAACATTTCGGAAATATTTCAAAAATGTTACATTGAAATGTTTGTAATGTTGTATAAATATTACGAAACGTCCCAGAAACATTTCTGAAATCTGCATAAAAAGTGAAAATTTCTTTTAAATATATTTCAAAATAATATTTCTGAAATAAAAATATTACAATGTATTCTGTTTTTTTTTTCATATTATGAAACGTTGTAGAAACGATTCTAAAATATTTTTAGACTAAAAAAGACATTTATAAATATACATGTTTATTTATACACAAAACAGTAACATTGATTCATAAACAAACAAATAAATAAATTATTAATTTTATAAAATTTAAAGGCAAATTGATTCATTTCCACCAATTCCTATAAATGCATTAATCTTAAACAAATTATAGGTTCTTGAAAAAGGATTTGATACAAATTATCTCTTTTAATAATTAATATTGTTTTAAAATAACTATAACAAAATAAACAATACTCATGCCTAAACAAAACGTAAAGCCCAGCTTTTCAATCAGAGCTGTGGAACTAATAAATAAAACTTGGTGGAGGGAGAGCAAATGTAGGTTATATTTAGATAAAAATGAGACTAAAGGCATTTCTTTATAAGCTTTCAACAACATACTTGGTAACAGCGTTGTGGTTACTCTGATGATGTCACATATACCGAGGTAACTCGCAGCACTTGTCGTTGTCACTTGTCAAATTTGGGATTTATTTTGTTTTTGTTTAGATAAATAAAAGAGTGTTTTTGTCACAGACGTCTTTTGGTAAATTTGGTTTTCGTTATTTATTTAAATATGTCTCCGCCAAGAAAAAGAAGAAATATTTTAATAAGTGTTATTTGTGGTAAAATAACAACGATGAATACTTCTGCCAGTAGTCTCATATTTCCAACTTTATATTTCAATATAAAGTATCCAGTGGACATCTTTAGCTTTGGAAGAAGATAAACATATTCGTCTTCCTCTGTTTTATGAAAAGTGGATAGATTTGTATTTGGAGGATGATTATTTCCAATGCTTCAGAAATGAAAGACAGATTCAACCAGTACTAATGGAGTTAATCATGGGTTACACGGATAATCGGATGCGGAAGGGAAACGCTATAGAATATCCAATTCCAATTGAGAAATCCCTATTAATTTGTTTGTGGTATTTGGGTAAAGGCGATACCATCCTGTCAACCGCTGAGAGATTTAATACTGCACTACAGTCAACATATGATTGCATAACAGAGATAATGTCTGTGCTGGTAATATTAAGTAAACAATTCATTCGGTGGCCAAATAAAAATGAATGTATAAAAATTGAAAAAAGCTTTAGGAAAATATCATCCTTTCCGGGAGTTATTGGGGCTATTGATGGTTGCCATTTTAAGGCCAAAGTCCCAGTAAACCAACAAGATAGCTACCAAGATAGGTATGCAGCACTCAATTTCGATGCAGGGAATGTCTTCCAAATATGATGATATCGAATATATTAGTTGGTTACCCAGGTTCCCTTCATGCTGCACATATATTAAAAGAAAGTAATTTACATCGATTTATAGTGCAATGTGGTGCCCACAGGTACTTTTATGATATATATCATCTAGTTGGAGACTCTGCTGATCCCTGTTTGGTGTGGCTGTTAAACCCGTATAAAGATTGTGGAACTATAACAGCAAAACAAAAAATATATAATACAGCTCTTAGTAAAGCAAGAGTTAAAATAGAAAATGTCTTTGGATGTTTAAAAATGAGGTGGAGGAAATTGTCATACATAAACGTCCATAGTGTTCAGACAGCTATAACCATAATACAAGCTTGTTGTATACTACACACTTTTTGTATTGGAGAAAATGATAACTGGGATTTCAAAATTGAAGGAGTGGAACCAGAAGATCCCATTACAACAGATGAAAATTATGATGAAGGATTGCTTACACGAGAAGTGATTTGTGCTGCTATTAGTTATGAAGAATAATTTTAAATATTATAACAATTAACTCTTTTCGTTTAAAAAAGACTCATTTTTAATAAGAATTTTATTTTTTTTCCATCCATACAAATATTGCAATAATAAAACTTTTTTTTGGCTTGAAAAAAAGTATTAATAAACAAAAAATAAAATAATTTTAAAGTAATAATACATTTAATGAATGATAACCAAAAAATAACATAAACCTATTAAAATTTTAACTTCATAAAAAAGTTAAATATGATTCAAATATGTAGGCATTAAAAACTTATTTCTGCTTCAAAAGTCACTTTTTCGTTTGTGGATTATGTCCAATAACATGTAAAGCAAACTGTTTAGAGCTACACACTTCATATTATTTTAAATAGTAGTAAAAATTTATAGAATAGAAACAAAACATTTTCTGACAAGAATAAAATGTTACATTAATAAACAGAAATAGTTTTAAAAAACTTAAATGCTAAGCAGGCTTTTATCTCAAAAAAAAAAACTTAAAGCATTAACACGGTCACTTAATTACAGCAACAAAACTTTTTTAGGGATGAAAAAATAGTTTATTAATAAACAAATAGTTTTAAAAACCTAAATCTAAGCAGACTTTTATCCCAACAAAATACTATTCTTAAAATAATTAATTAATGGTATACCTACAAAAATGATAAAAAATTCTTAAATGAATAAAAAATAAAAGTATTCTAAAACAAACAAAAAATAATTCTGTGTATATTATGATGAAGATGAAGTACTGCGCCTTCTTTTCTTACTTTTTTTTATGTCTGCTGTAAAGATTGCTGTAGAATGTTTATAAGTTGGTCTCGTTGTGTATTTTGATGGGCTATCAATTAATTTTGTTCATTTAAAAAAGTATACATTTTATCAAAACTCCTATTTTGGTTTTCAATAACTTGATTGTTGCAATTAACTATAGTACTTAGTAGATCAGCTTTTGTAACACATGTCTTTCTTTTGGACACTTTTTAATATGTCTTAACATTGTCATTGCAATTTTTAGATTGTTTATCTTCTTGTACGTTATATTGGGTATTTCTGTATTTTGTAGATGAATCTTTACTTGTGGAAGGTTGATTTACATTAGGTTCAAGGTCTTTTGGCATTTAAAGGGTGTCTACCCTATTTGCCAAAGTTATTTTGTCTTTTGACCCTATAATGCTATGCATTTCTTCGTAAAATGGAGAAGGTACTTTTTTTACCTTCACCAGTTTCGTTTATTACCGTTGCTACATTTTGCCAAAGCTTGTTCTTTGGATTTTTTTATCGTTAAATAATTTTTTATACTTATCAGCGCCACGTATTTCCAAAAGCTTTGTGGTTGCCAATATATATTCTTCAGATGGTTTACCTTTACTACTCCAAATTTCGAAATTGGTTGCACTACTGGGTTCTGATAACGTCTCTACAGAAACTTCTGTAGTACTATGCTCTGATTCCAGTGTTTGTTCAATTCTTACCACAGATAAATTTTCTATTGATTGAGGAAAAACACCAAAAGATGCTAGCCTACCCTCTCTAACTGCTCTTTCAAAATAAAACATCGTAAACTCATCATCTGAAAATGTAACATTTTAATAAGTGTTGACAAAAAACTAATTAAAATTTACTATTTGCAAGTGCATCAGCAACAACATCGGTCATGTGAAGCGTTATTTCAGTGCCCTGTATGTTAAATGTAATTTCTTTCATAGTAAATAGTGTTTTCTTTGGTAAATACAAAAATGCCCAACTCAAATATACAAAATGAACCATATAACCCGTAACCAGTAACCACAGAAAAATTTATCTAATTTAATCCCTTTACAATTCTTTGCGCATGCTCGATATGTTCAAATGTGGACCTTACTGACCTTACCAAACACCTTACTACTTAAAACATCATGGTTAGTAGTAGTTACGTATTTTGGTAACGTATGACGTCATGTAAGTAACTAAACCGTATAAAGAATTGCTTTGGTTACATAAGTATGTTCTAGTAAGTTATGGTAAGCTTATGAAGAAAAGCCTTAAAACTGCCTGTAAATTTAATAAACTAAATGGCGTTACTCGTCTCAGTTAATGAGATAAAGTAAATTAACCTAATTTAACTAACTTACAAACGTTATTTCTGTAGTAAACTCACCTCGATTTCTAAAAACATATTCTGCTTTCCATATAACAGCATAACGCATAAATAACAAAAAAAAAACAAAATAAATGGCGTAAACGACGACACCAAACGCAAACTTCTATTTATTTAGAATATAGGGTTCTCTTTGGCTGGAACATAGGATGAAGTAAAATGATTACATAACTCCTCTTCTTAAAAATCAGAAATTCTTCATTTAGTGTTGGCCTTTTACAACATAACCCGTTTAGTAACCTTTTATATAACATTTATACCATGTTTCAGAAACATTTTCAGTGAAATATTTAAAAAAAATATTTCAGAAATTTGTTCTTGAAATGTTATGTTTGAAACGTTTGAAATTTTTCTGAAACATTTCTGAAATAATGTGTGCTGTATGCAGGTATTGGATTTGTCATAGATTTGTACAAATCCTTAATTTCATTTATTTTATCTTGTCGTGAGAACTTTACATTCTATGAAGAGGAGGCTAAGGCTGTGATTAGTAAGCCGAACTATCCTGCAAGCGTTGATGAAGTTCTGTTCGGTGCTAAGGATGATTTGAAAATAAACGTTTACCTTACAATAATTGTGGATCGAATATTCTCGGAATTCGATTGTCCAAAATTTGCGTACGAATAGTGTCTTTTTAACTTTCTCGAACTCTCTGTTGGAGAAATAAGGAGTGAAGCGTTATTTGAAGTTTATTAACTGGATGTTTAAGACGATTTGGTTGAAGAGATCTCACAGTTCAAAGAGTATTTAGCACCAGAGGACAAAAAAATGTAAATACCAACAATATGTGATTAGAAATCCTTATATCGATGTCAGTAAGCAATTGTTCTTACTTGCGCTTAAATATGTCCAAAAGCAAATTGAACTATTTATTAATTATTCATCATGACACTGCGAATTCTACTTAATTTTGACGATGTAATAAGAAATTTCGTTGAGAGTAAATTTAGACGAAAAATGTATCTAATGCGAAAGGAAAGCGATTTTATTTAGTTGAATATCTTTACATCTTTACATCTTCTAATATATAAGTATTTACATTTTGTTGGAATGAAGTTTTGTTGCATTTTATGTGATTCTAAGGGACGTTTGCGCAATTTTTGGTATCTATTTTACGTTTTGTAAAACAAATATAGCGATTTGATTCAGCCTGTAGGCGGTACATTTGCAAATCCGCCCCTATATTAAACGAATTTCTAGTTCTAGATCTTGTCCTATATATTGTTTTACATAAAGAAGAGCGTGACAAATATAAAGGCAATAAAAGGACAATTTTATTTTTATTAAAAACTGGTTTACAACTTTCTCTTTGATCCTTTAAAAATAATTTTACCTTAGAATTTTTTCTGAGTAACAAACATTTTATTATCATCTGTTGCGTTTTCCCATAAAATTATATTGTAGCATAAGTGGCTATAAACGAGGCTTTAGTACACATTTAGAAGTGTACTAGTTGGCATACTGTTTCTTAATCTAGATACGGCTTAAAAAGATTGATTTAATTTTTATTTACCGAGTTAATATGATCCGTCCAACAGAGATTACTATCAATGTGTAATTCCAAAAACTTTGTAGTTTATCTTTGATGTAACAATATAAAAAGACAAAGAATATGAGTTATGGGGCATGTTTAGGTGATGAAAATATATAAATATATTGGTTGTGTTATTTTTATATTACTTATTAAACCATTTATAAAATTGGGAACAATATTCTGAATAACATATCAGAAGACTCTCAGATGACTGTGCATAAAGTACTAATATTCAGGCCCGACGAGAGGGGGAGGGGGGGGGTAGGGGAAGTAGGGGGGAACAAAAGATAGGACCTGGTTTACGAAAAATACAAGACGAGGACCTTTTTTTTTAGATTTCACTATAGTCTATTTTTATGTATGAGAGAGTAATTAAGCAGCATTTCTAATGCAAAACTTAGTACAGTCATTTTAAATATTTTTACAGAATAATCTAAATATTTCCTAAAATTGTAATAAATGTACCTGAGCTATTACAAGTTTTGGGTCTTTTATAAACATAAGCTGTACAGAACAATAGAAAAAGGTTTGGACAGGCCAAAGCCCTGTGTATTAAAGATTACATAGCCGTATTTTAAGATTATTTTCAATAAGTACCTATTTGCCAAATTTTGTTTTATTTTAATTCCAAGAATTTCTTACAGTAATCGAATTATAAGTAGATAAATACCTTCCCAACAAATTTCACCGAAAATGCGATTATAGGTTTTCCATTTAGTAAGGAGGTCCAAGTTGTGTATTCTTGACAGTTTACTAAATGTCGTTTAGTTGCAACTTGCAAGGTGCAGTGTGAATTCTAGTATGATCATGGAAAATTTGGAAGGGCCGCGTAAACGACAAAAAATCGTTCCTTTAACAATTAATGAAAAAACATTAATATTTAATTGTTTTAAATCATTTACAGACAAACATTTGTGTAAAAGTGTTGATGACACAGTGGAATTAGTTAGTAGTACGTTTGGTGTTGGGAAATCTACGATTTACAGAGTTGTTAAAGAAAAGAAATGTGGCGGGTTTCAAACAGTACGTAAAGCTCCAGGAAAACCAAAATGTCAATTAGAAAATCTTTTGAAAGAAAGACTTCGAAGGAAAGTGCATGCGTTCTTCTTTAGAAAAGAATTTCCGACAGTAAACAAAGTTCTTTCCACGGTTCGAGATGATAAGGATTGCCCTGAAATGAGTCGAAGCACACTATGGAAACTTTTAAAAGAAATAGGTTTTCTATGGAAAAAACATTCCAGAAAGTCTATTTTAATAGAAAGAAGCGATATTGTAGTAAGGAGAAGAAATTACCTAAGGACTATAAAAGAAATGAGAAACCAAAGAAGAAATATATTTTATTTAGATGAAACATGGATCAACGAGGGACATAAACCAAATAAATTTTGGCAAGATGAAACTGTTACAAGTCGAAGACAGGCTTTTTTAGATAATTTATCTACTGGTTTAAATTCACCATCGGGAAAGGGGCGCAGACTAATAATAGTACACATCGCTAGTTCAAACGGTTTTGTTAAAGGTGGTTTATTGACTTTTGAATCTACTCGTACCGGTAACTACCATGAGGACATAAATGCTGATGTCTTTAAAGAGTGGTTCGAACAAATTATAGATCTTCTACCTCAGAACTGTATAATAGTAATGGATAATGCAAGTTATCACTCGAGACATAGAAAAAATGCCCACAATGAAGTGGTTAAAAAAAGATTTACAGAATTGGCTAAATTCAAAGAATATTAAGTTCCATCCCGGTTCTGTGAGAAAAGAACTGTATAATTTGTGTTCCCTTTATAAAGAGAAATTCAAAAAATATGAAATTGATGAAATTGCAAAAAATCGTTGGATGACGGTGGTTAGATCACCACCATATCATTGCGAAGTAAACCCGATTAAACTGATATGGGCACAGATAAAGGGAGAAGTTTCAAGAAAAAATAATTCTTTTAAAATGAGTGATGTTAAACAGTTGTTTTCGGAAGCTGTAAATAATGTGAAGCCTGAAAACTGGGAAAAGGCAGTAAATCATACGATTGAAGAAGAAGAGAAAATGTGGAAGTTGGACAATATTACTGATGAAAAAGTTTAAACCCTTATACCTACATAACCCGTTTGACACAATGTTCTTAACATACCTTGTGGAAAAATAAAACATTTTGGAAAAAAATGCACTTTTTTACCTTTAGCTGTTTAGAAGTTATAAGCAGGTTAATTAGGTGAAAATACAAGTGTATACTCGAGTAATAATTTCAAAAAATATTTTAACTGTCTACTAAAAGAAGTGGTACGCCTATGGATTTCGAACGCTTTATTATTTTAATACCCTCTCATACATAAAAATAGACTATAAGAAAGGATCTTGCTCGAGGACCTTTTTTACATTTTTTTTTCTTTTTTTTTTCAAATGTAACTTTATAAAAATGTCCCGGGGTCCCACCATGGTTCTCGGCGGCCCTGCTAATATTTTAGACCTTATATACTTAGATACATACTACTGAGGGACTTCTCGTATTCATATGATATGATCTATTACTGAGGAAGCTAACTATCCAATCCAAAAAAATCTTCTAAATCCTGTATTGTGAAGTTTACTCTTGACAAATTTAATATCTAGACAGTCAAAAGCACACGTTAGCTCAATTTTATTATATATGTCGTAGTCTCGTAGTGAAATTCGTCTTTTAATGAAGGTCCTAGTCACATCATGAAGTTTCGGCATATTGTGTAAAATCTTGAAGGTACACAATCTGCCGAGGCTTTTCGTGAAGAGACCACATTCATTCGGCGTATAATGTCGTAACATAATCTGACTAAATTTAAGTATCGACACTTTGTGAAGTAACGATTTATAATCGTCAGATTATGTAATGTGTTTAATTTACCTGATTTTATTGAAGCTAATAGTAATTTTGTTATTATTTGTGGTTGTTATAGAGGAAAATAATGAAAATGAGTTGTTAAATGTATACAATAGCAAATATTATACGTCATGTCCGAACCAAAGGCCATACAACATGAATCAGTTAGTAAGGTATAAACAATTACTGTTATGTATCATACAAAATATACACCAAAGCTAGATAATATAAAATCATTAGGGCTGATATACCTAAGGGGGTCGCGACATAGTGCCCATCTTAGACGCCATTTTTTCCGAAATAGTAGTCGCCGGGCCTGCTAATATACAAAAATATCACCTTTTTTTTAAATGACATTTTTTTTATAAATTGCCCAGATTTTTTAGTATAAAATATTTAAATTTAATCAATTTAATAATCTCACATGTATATATAGAATACGCCGTGAAAAGTAGATCACTTTCAATTTTGTGCTGTTTGGTTGATTTTAAAAAGTAATATGAAGATACGTAGACAATTTTCTTATAGATGAGGATGCAGAACAAATTGTGGTTCCCTTTATTAGGGCTCCAGTCCCCTAAGTCTATTTATTTTAGTTCTTTTTAAATTGTTGGTAGGTATTGTGATGTTTGTTTACTTTAAAACAACCGTTTATTTATTAATAATTTATTTAAACACTTTTTTATTTTATAACACAACTATTCTAATTTATATATACTTCGTATGTCTTTAAACTGTTCACTCTATTTATCTTCACTGTCCATATAATAACTAACTCTGCTGGGTCCTCCACCAATATTTATATACAAATTTAAAAAAATTGGCGAATGAGCTGAGAAAGAAATGGATAAACCTTTGTCTAGCTTTGTTAATCTTTCAGGGCAATAGTGTTAACAGCAGACCACAACAAGAACAACCAAAGTTTAGTAATCAAGCAAAATATTTCAGTACCTCCAGAATTATAAACTTACGAAAACTATAATAGGAAACATGTATGGCTTGGAATAGGAAATTACCCATAGAAAGGCTTCTACAGAACAATGATGATTGGTTAGCAAGCATCATTAAAGTACCATTATTTTCTTTATGTATTCCAGGACGTCCTGAAAAGGATTTTAATGACTCAAGTGAGAGAAGCAAACTCAGGAAAACCGAAGACTTAAGACATTTAACTCCTGAAGAACTTACATTTGCTGCATCTATGAGCCACCGGGATGCAGGTAATCGTGATTTAGCGGATATGATTAAAAAAATAGCAGAAAGTCCAACAAAAGCAACAGAGTTAAAAAAGGCACTAAGGATGTCCGAAAAAAACAAAATAAAAAACTTCCTCCTAGCAATTTTTTTAGATGCTGAGCTTACAAGAAAACAGTATGAAATAATACGTGAATCAAATAAAAACATATACCCTTATTATTCTTTTATAAAAAGGGCAAAAAGAAGTGCTATCCAACAGAGGATTCAATGTTTGTTTCTGAAATAAGGATTAAAGTAAAATTGCAAACTACAACTACAACACATCATTAAGATTATGTAAATATTTAGAAAATCTACTGAAAGTGATAAATTTTTAAGAAAAGCATAACTTGGAGCTGATATCGAAATGGGGATGTGAAGGGTCTCAGCAATAACAATTTAAAGAAACGTTTCAGAACGTTACTGACAGCGATGCCAACATCTTCCAAAGGTTGATTGTTAACGTAAAAGAACAGCAAAAAACCATAAGACAAAATCCAAGACCATCTACCAGATTTCGTAGATCCATCCGTATTCGTTTCGTCCACGAAACGTCAGACATTACTGTGGAGGAAATAAAGTATGTTGAAGACCAAATAAAACAATTGCAAGAAACAGAAGTGCAGACAGACTAAGAAGTGGCCAAAATTAAACACACCATGCTCTTAACAATGGTTGATGGAAAGGTTTGCAATACTGCAATGGATACGTCATAGTCAATGAGGTGCTATATCTGTTAACTTATTTCAAAAAAGTAGGGAAAGTACCGTAAATTCCGATAATTTGACGTTTGGATTGTCTACTTTACATGCAAGAATAAGTTTTTTTGAGTCAGTTCTTCATTTGTCATATAGAATCCCGATACAGAAATGGCAAGCACGAAGCCAGGAAAAGAAAAAAAGTGTTCCAGACATCAAAAAGAAAATTCAACGAAAATTTAAGAACGAGTTGAGACTTCTTGTTGATGTTCCAAAACAAGGTTATGGGAATACAAATGATAGCAACACAGCGAGAAGATTTTTTTCTGATCCAGAAATTGCCTCACGCATTACTGCTGTAAGCATAGAGCTTATAAAGAATCTGAAAGTGATACTGAAGGCTATTACAAGTGGACATCGCATTGACGAGAAAAAGTTTCAAACATTCTGTGACGAAACAGCAAGATTGTACGTAAGCCTTTACGGTTGGCACCCCATGATACCAACAACGTGTTAATTTCTGGTTCATGGAGCTACAGTTGTTAAATAAGCTATTTTACCAATAGGACAATTATCAGAAGAAGCTGCGAAGACCAGGAATAAACACTTTAGAATGTACAGAATAAGGTTTTTCAGGAAGTTTAATAGACAAGTGTGCAATAGAGATATTCTAAACAGGCTTCTTCTAACAAGTGATCCTTTCATTAGTCGTTCCAAACAAAAGCACATGAAAAAGAAAGAACCTTATAGCAGCGAGACCCTACAGTTACTTATGCCAGAGTCACATAAAGGTGGAAGATCAGAAATACTCCAAGATGAAAGTGAAGAAAAAGATACAGTAGAGGATTCAGAAAAAGAGAATTGAAACGAAGACCAAATCAGTTTTGATGACTCAAATTGAAAATAGTAAGATTTTTATGTCAAAAAAGTCCTGTAAACCAGAAATAAAGTAAGCAATATACCTCGTTTGTAAAGAAATAATTAGTAAAAGTATATTTGTAGAATTTTTAATTTATATTTATCACTAAATTAATAATTATTACTTTCACTACTATACAACAACAAAAATGTTAATTTTGATTAAAATATTTTTATTTAAATTTCTTGTAAAAATAAAGTACTGCAACTTAAAATTCATTAATTTTCTAGAAATTCCAAAAACAAACCTGTTTGAGAAACCTTGTATAACAAATAACATGTCTGATGATTAAAATAGGGAAATTTAGGTTATCAAACTCTAGATAATTTTAACTTTAGATAACATTCGTAGAAGCGCTTGTTTGTTTCCCTTTACGAACAAGTTTCGATGAAAAAGTTAATTAATAGCTACATCTATTTCTCCCAGAGGATATACTCGCTAAACAATTCGTAGTTTCCGTATTCCATTAAATTCATAATTACGAAGACAAAAAGGTGTCGACATTATTCGTCTCGACTAAAATAAAAATTTCAAATTCAAAGGATCTTAATCGAAATTGAAATTAATAAAAGAAAGTAATTTCTGGAACCCCTTTTGGAAATGTTTCAAAAGGGGACTTAACGCAAAAGGGTTGGATGCTTTGATGTCAATCAACTAATTATGTCGGGAGAGAGGAAATATCTTTTATAATTGTCGAATAATGGTTTGAATAAATCGGGAGAAAGCTCTGGCTGAAATTTAAAATTCAGACGACATGCCGTAAAGTTTTAAGAAGACAACGAAAACTTTTAAATTTGTTACAAGTTCTATAAGTCTATATGCAGAAGAATGCTATTAATTGTTTAGGTGATTTCATTGTAAATAAAGTATAGGAGGAATTAGGGTTTTTAGGTTATTTAGGTTTTCTTATTTTTTTTACGGTTTTTAAATGTTTTTACGTTTTCTTTAAGATTTTCTAAAATTTTTATAAGGTTTCTAGGTTTATTAAGGTTTTATAGGTTTTTTAAAGGTTATCAGTTCATATATATTAAAAGTTAATAAAATTAAGCAAAAAATACAAGCAAAAATGAAAAGATGTTAGGAAAAAAGTTATTCTTTTTAAAATTTGAGCATAATCTAAAACCTAAAATACAACCACCAAATTTCAAATTTAATCAGTCGTATAAAGAATAAAGCTTACTCTTGAGTAAAATTCATGTGAGGGTTGAGGGTTGAGGGTTTATGGTTGAGGGTTGAGGGTTGAGGGTTGAGGGTTGAGGGTTGAGGGTTGAGGGTTGAGGGTTGAGGGTTGAGGGTTGAGGGTTGAGGGTTGAGGGTTGAGGGTTGAGGGTTGAGGGTTGAGGGTTGAGGGTTGAGGGTTGAGGGTTGAGGGTTGAGGGTTGAGGGTTGAGGGTTGAGGGTTGAGGGTTGAGGGTTGAGGGTTGAGGGTTGAGGGTTGAGGGTTGAGGGTTGAGGGTTGATAGTTGAGGGTTGATAGTTGAGGGTTGATAGTTGAGGGTTGAGGGTTGAGGGTTGAGGGTTGAGGGTTGAGGGTTGAGGGTTGAGGGTTGAGGGTTGAGGGTTGAGGGTTGAGGGTTGAGGGTTGAGGGTTGAGGGTTGAGGGTTGAGGGTTGAGGGTTGAGGGTTGAGGGTTGAGGGTTGAGGGTTGAGGGTTGAGGGTTGAGGGTTGAGGGTTGAGGGTTGAGGGTTGAGGGTTGAGGGTTGAGGGTTGAGGGTTGAGGGTTGAGGGTTGAGGGTTGAGGGTTGAGGGTTGAGGGTTGAGGGTTGAGGGTTGAGGGTTGAGGGTTGAGGGTTGAGGGTTGAGGGTTGAGGGTTGAGGGTTGAGGGTTGAGGGTTGAGGGTTGAGGGTTGAGGGTTGAGGGTTGAGGGTTGAGGGTTGAGGGTTGAGGGTTGAGGGTTGAGGGTTGAGGGTTGAGGGTTGAGGGTTGAGGGTTGAGGGTTGAGGGTTGAGGGTTGAGGGTTGAGGGTTGAGGGTTGAGGGTTGAGGGTTGAGGGTTGAGGGTTGAGGGTTGAGGTTTGAGGGTTGAGGGTTGAGGGTTGAGGGTTGAGGGTTGAGGGTTGAGGGTTGAGGGTTGAGGGTTGAGGGTTGAGGGTTGAGGGTTGAGGGTTGAGGGTTGAGGGTTGAGGGTTGAGGGTTGAGGGTTGAGGGTTGAGGGTTGAGGGTTGAGGGTTGAGGGTTGAGGGTTGAGGGTTGAGGGTTAAGGGTTGAGTGCCTACTGGGCGCGTCTCCAGGTGGTGGATAGAAGGAGCCAGAATCTCTCGTCAGAAGCAGATATAAATAGGGTGAGGGAATATAAAAACCCCCAAAATCCTTTGCGAAAACTGCCGTGAACCAACTAACCTCCGCTGGAGGTTCAGACGGTATAATCTATCCTGTCGGGTCCCTCGCTTTGCCGTAGCGGAGGGGGCTACAGTTTAAGGATATGACCCTACGGCCAAAGACACAGGGTGTTCCATCTCAGACGAGCCACCCCGTATATTTCTTATCCTATAGTAATTGGAAAAATTTCCCGAAACACGTCGGTTAATTTTCTTTGGGGGACGTCTTTTGACATATAAATAAAAAAAAATCAAAACATTTTCTTATCTTGCCTTCATTTTTTGTTCTTAGAAGGTGTTTATCACGTTTCTTTGATCATTTCATGTGATAAAACAATTAATTTTTTTTAAGAATGTGTAAAGAGGCTTACAAGACCTTATAAATGAAGTATCAGTCAACAGCTCTTCCCTATTCAATTATGAGGGGTTGAAGCGCCCCTTCACAGGGGGTTGCTCGTTCAAGCCTCAAATATACGTCAAAAGATGTCCCCCAAAGAAAATCATCCGAAATGTTTCGGGAAATTTTTCCAATTACTATGGGATAAAAAATATACCGGGTGGCTCGTCTGAGATGAAACACTCTGCATATAATAACGAATGCAGCGTTTTCACTGTCACTGGCATTATGCACTGTGTATATTTTTGTGCCCTTGTTTATAGTTATGGAGGACAAGAAGAAAGTCGGAAATATTTTATTTATAAGAATAGTAAGGGTTTTGCTATTTTTAGGGGCTAATAAGTTTTACTTTCATTTTCGTTTTCATTTTTTTCTCAGAACGCACTGAAACATTTCAGTGGAAAACGCCAAATTAATTACTTTGATTAAAGCACCATCTTTATTATAGTGTATGAACCAATTTATCAATTGAAATTTTAATTTCGTGCACGAAGAGGATTGACTTAGACGCCATTTTGATTCCAAATAGCAATTTTATTTGATTTATCATGGCTATCCAAAGACAGTGACTTATAAAATTAAAATCGACTGATTTCGGAAAATAGGCAATATTTCAATATTCTGAGTGAACTAAATTGTAAGTAAAGTTGAACTTAGGTCGTCTTTCTATTTATTTTTTTTCTTATTTATTTGAAATTGAGGTTAAAATAATTTTAAACGGAACCTTTGAGATATAATGGGGTTGTTTTACATGATTTGTTTATATTGAAAATAATAAATTTATCAATTTTCAATAGTAGATCGACCTAAGTTAGACTTTTTTCTTTAATTTGGCCAAAAATTTGATTTACAAATAATATATATTCGGAAATCAGTGGATTTAACTTTTGGTCTACACTTTTTTTTAATACACAGGTCTTCCCCGTCCTTAATACATCATAGGAATACCCCTTTGTACCAACTGTAATGTAGGAAACAGTTTTCATAAATCTTCTTGGAATCTTTTTCAAATAAGTTAATTATAAATGTGATGCAGTTTTATTATTGACTAAAGGTTACTCGATGGATTTAATCATTAAATGAAAAATATGAAGTACCACGTCGATGAGTTGCGAGAGTCTAAGGCCCATTTTAACGGTGAGTCGATCGGAGTTGTTGCCCACGGGTCGGATGAGACGATTGTAGTTCGACAACAGATCATCGTACAGTCTCTTGGCGTCAGGGTTGCCCCAAATTGGGGTTGGAGGACTCAGTCCGCCCAATATCAGCCATGATAATGTGAGCCACAGCCCCATTTCAAGCCCTGAAAATAAACATAAAAACATTTTGGTACTTTCAGTCCTCTAAACCTTATTAATATAACATCGATCAAAAAATACGTTTACAAATGTGTTACATTTTGAAATTTTTTTTACAAATTTTGAATTTAATAAATGGCGCAATGACACATGTTGGATAAATACGTAACAGAGACGTGCACACATAATATGATAATACCAAAAACAGAAACAAATGATATAGGTATTTTGTTTTATAATAAAGCATAAAGCATTTAAGGTCCTTTTGATAATGTACAAAAAAATCAAACTTAGTATATATTTAACAGTTTTAATATCTGCTAGTTTATTTTATGTTATTAGTACATTTTTTTTTGTTTACTCATTATCAAGTTAGCTATCTATTTATTTATTTGACTATCCAAATAAAAATTGGTCAATTTATATAATTTTCAAAGATGAATAAAATATTAGTATTTTATAAATTTACAACACCACTGCGTATTTTATTTACTATTGCCGTCGGTCACCCTCGATGAAATGACTGGAATTGATCAACTTGAAAATTAATTTGTTTCAGGTCAGTTGACAATATGTATCGAATAAAACTTTCATCGAGCTTTGGGGTTTTGCGCTCTCAAGTCTGATCGGATCATTTTTGTTCTCTTTGTTCATCAGTTTCGCTATTATTTCCGTATCTGCATACCGACAACATAGTCAAAATAAGTAGATTTTCAACAGAAAATATGAATTATGTATTAAAAATTACAGGTTTTGATATGAATCGAGGTGAACAAAGAAAATAATAATACTACAATAATAATATTAATAAAAATATTCTTCCCAATTCAAGAGTTCATTTTAACCCCAAAAACTGAACCGGTGTGAAGTTAGTAGCCAAAAACTGGTAGCCCGTTTACCGAGTACGCCCGAACAATACAGTATTTCAGTTTTATGTATTAATTGAAAACTGAGGTCGTTTGTATTTTAAATGTTATTTTCCTTATATAAATAAATAAAAAAAATAATTAATACATGAAAAATAATACATTCATAATGAAAATTCTTAATATTCATATTATTAAAAATAAGATATCAAAGTAGAATTGATACCAAGTATAAGTTTTAATACAAATAGTTACTGGCCAGAAGCAGAATCACTTAGCGCCCTCGTAAGGGGTAGCAGTCACACCCCAATTTCGAAAAAACATATTTGTCCTAGTTAAAAATGAGATATCAAGGTGAGATTAATAACAAGTATACTTTTTAATACAAACACTTACTGGCCATAAGAAGAATTACTTAGTGCCCTCGCAAGAAGTAGCAATCACACCCCTATTTAGGAAAACCAATATTTGACGCAGTTAAAAATGACGTATCAAATTGGGATTATTACCAAGTATACCTTTTAATGCAAGCAGTTACTGGCCAAAAGCAGAATTACTTAAAACCCTCGAAAGGGGTAGCAATCACACTCCTATTTCAAAAAATCAATATTTGACGCAGTTAAAAATGGGATATCTCATTTTTAATTGCGTCAAATATTGATTTTTTTAAAATAGGGGCGTGACTGCTTGTCCGAAACATTTTTTCATATCTTTATTGCCAACAAAAATATTGAGAAAATTATAATTTTGTACTTTTTCTCGTATTTCTCGATTTCATATAACAAAAATGATAGAGAAATACATCACAAACTTTAATTCGATGATTTTCTCCAAATAACAGAAATGTAACTTAAATTAAAAAAAAATCGAGCTTCTATAAAGTACCCCATACTTCAACTTTGCTCAAAATCGAATTAGCTTTTTTTATTAAAATTTATATTTAAAATGTGGCATATTTCTCTTTATCTAAAACATTACCGCGAAAATTGTCAAAACGGATTCGGAGGACTCCAAAACGTAATGATCAGACGAATGATTCCTCTACTTTCCTTACTGATAACTGGAAAGTAAAAAATTAAAATTATTTTTGGTGAATTTAAAGAAAATCATTTGAGCCGTTTTCTCATTTATTTACAAAAAAACAATTTCGAACTCGGGAACATTTAGAGTAAAAAATCAATCAAATTATCGAAGCCCAATTTAATATACTTCTTCCCTCATATAAATCTAAAATAAAACCAAATCGACTCTGACCTGTCCGTTTGTGCTAAGCCGGTTATCGAAAGGAACCCAATTCGATGGCTGAAGGTCACCGAAATTTGCCACAGCGTTCTTATGTAATTTTTCGAGAGTTACACTTCAGTGTATTCAGTGGTTAAAGGTTGTTAGCGTGGCTCATTAATATTCCTAAATATTAAAAAAAGTCTTTACGTTGATATTTTTATGATCTTAATCCTTTGGTGCAGAACCCTAATAATAAATTCCTAATTGCATTACTAACTAATATAAAAAGCACAATAAGCATTTCATTAATTTTGGAATTAAACTTATTACTTACCAACGAAATTAAGCATTAGAAACATTCCCATGTCTCCTATTTATTCATCTAAGAAACAAATCGCAATTTCCAAGCGTATTGTTAAATTCCAGCTAGTTTGTGTATTGTGCACTTTCGTAAATTCATTATCCGAATAACGGTCTATGTTTCTTGAATTGAATTTGAATTAGTTGGAACCGGGGAATTCAAATAGTGCACAATAGGATTGGCAAAGTTTTGTGAAGTGTTTCATATATCAATAATTTAATTTTGTATTGTTTCTGAAACAACGTTTAGAGTAATATTTGGTATCAAGTTAAATTACTATATCTCATGATTAGTATTTACAGATTTCCAGCAAGGCTTCGATTCAATAAACAGAGACCGGTGTGAACTTAGCAGCCAATTTCTAGCAGCCAAAATTCCGAATATTACCGAATAATTAGTAGCTTCGTTTAAATAGAGGCAATTAATTATTAGGTGAGAAATAAGGACAAAAACAATTTAAACTTCTACCGAAGGTTTGTTCCAACAACGATCTTGGAACAATACATAAACCAGTCCAAAACTTATTGTTGACAATCTGTCGACGACTAGTAATTGACAACCTGTCAGGTATTGGTCGGGAATTGGGACTCAACTCAGCACTCGATTATGTTGAGGTTTGTTCCAACATAAACCAAATCAGTTGGTGTACTGTCGGGATTCTGCGCAGTCTAGAATTTGTGTTCCAACAAACCTTAGACTCGAAACTGTACAAAAACATAGTGTTCCAACACAACCAAAATTAATCACAAACCGATTTGTGTACTGTCAAATCAGTTCCTGGGTCTGAATAGGAACGAATTGTCAAGACATGCGCTAAGCCGCAATAAACTGAACATTTCGTGATTGTAATTATATTATTTGTATCTATTGTCTCTGATAGTTCTGATTTGTTTTTGTTAATCGAGTTTAGTCTTCATAGTTTTTGTTCATGATCATATATTTTATTTTGTGGTTTATTATTGTAATAATGCGTCTGTTGAATTAAAAAAATGTGTTCCAACATAATCGAGTTCCGAGTTGAGTCCCAATCCCCGACCAGTACCTGACAAGTTGTCACTTACTAGTCATCGACAGATTGTCAACAATAAGTTTTGGACTGGTTTATGTATTGTTCCAAGATCGTTGTTGGAACAAACCTTTAGAACACATTTTTTAAATTCAACAGACGTACTATTACAATAATAAACCACAAAATAAAATAAATGATAATGAACAATAACTATGAAGACAAAACTCGATTAACAAATACAAATCAGAACTGTCAGAGACAATAGATACAAACAATATAATAACAATCACGAAATATTCAGTTTATTGCGGCTTTGCACATGTCTTGACAATTCGTTCCTATTTAGACCCAGAAACTGATTTGACAGTATACAAATCGGTTTTTGATTAGTTTCGGTTGTGTTGGAACAATATGTTTTTGTCTAAGGTTTGTTGGAACACGAATTCTAGACTGCGCAGAATCCCGACACTACGCAAACTAATTTGATTTATGTTGGAACAAACCTCGAAATTTGATAATGGAATGTTCTTTTAATTATCACATCAATATTAATTAAAATAAAAAGGACAATACCATACTTTAAAAATAATGTTATTATTTTACCCGACAAGGTAATAAGTCACATCAAAAGGTATTTTACGATATTTATAATGGTAGTATTAACTCAAACAAAAAATATGATAAATATAAAAAAAAATTACCACAATGGTAAACTACCTTGTAATAATCAAATATTTATTTTGTCAGAGAAACAAATAAGTTATCACTTTAAACTGCGTTTTAAAATATTTTTATTAGTTAAAATAAGTTATAATAAAAATACAAATTACTATCACCCGTTCCAACAGGGGTAAAATGCCATTAGGATAAAATCACTATTTTACAAAGGAAGCAAATAGTATATTACACACCGAGGTGGGAAGAGTTTCATTTCTGTCGTAAGATTAGTTAGATCACCGAGACGCGAAGCGTCGAGGTTAGCTATGATCTCGAGACAAGAATGAAACTTCCTACAAAGGTTTGTATACTATTTTATTTACAACCATCATATTTCGATCAAAGTTAATAAATCTCCGTTTCGTTCTATACATACCTAAAATATTACATTTAACGAGAAATTACCAAGCGACCGGTTTTCTCAGAATAATCAAGTAAATATATTGTTATTGTGATTACGGGGTAAACAACTGTCACCAATATAAATAAATGTCAGATAAAGCATGATATTAATTTCGCGAATAATAAATATCAATAAGTAGTTTGTTGTATTTTAGTTCATTGTTGTTTTTTATTGTTTGCCATTAAATAGGTATTATAAAATTTGTCAAAAAAATGTGTTATTTTTTTTAAATATAAAAAATATTCATCTAGAATAGATGACATGAGGGCGGGAAGTGAGGGCGAGAAGTAGAGGTGTGTAATGTGACACTTCCCGACCTTCAATGACGTTAGTAATGACAACATTACATATATGATTGTAAATAAAAGTTATTACTTTACATACCCACAGTAAAAATTAGAATTACTATCGCTCCTTTCAACAAG